ATAGACAGGTTATCTTCAAACCCTTCAGAGATAGATCTACAGAATATGGCATTTAAAATGTTTTAATAACTTAGAAAATTTTTCTTTTTTGTTATGACTATGAGACATGTCGGCTCCTGGCAGTACCAATCTACTTCAGAGAAAATATGGGCATTGAAGAAACTGCGTATGGAGTTAACTTTCATTGTGGCAAAAGTTAGCCACTGGACAACAAAGTATCCTCGAATCAACAGGACAAAATGGACAGACAGGACATAAAACAAAGGACTACTGATTCTTGCCAAAACAAGTGTGGTTATGGCTTTATCAAAAGGCATCTTCAGAGGCCAGGACAATATGGCACCATCCCTGAAGTGGCCTTCGCAATTCGGAAAAGGTACAGTGCCCTTTTCTTCGAAGGCAGCTGAACAGGCAGTGGGCCGATGGCCTCTGATGTGCAATGGAACAGCAGCTGAAACAGTTATTCTTGAAGAGTAACTAAGCTCACGCCTCTCAATAGTAGACTGGCATTTGATAGAGGGATGTGGAGAAGAATGGGATGCTGAGATGAAGCCATATATACACAGCCAAGAAGAATGGACAGCTGAATTAAAAAACCATCAACAATTTCCAGAATTTAAAATCCTGAATCATGACATGACACTAGTGGAATTCAGGTGTTTCTGGTACATGGACTACTCTCACTCAATGTGAGGTTGAACTGTTGACCTTGTGTACATCCTACTTCACAAATGAGTCTGTCAGATATGCTAAGCCTATAGGCTGAAGATGATGCCCCAGCACTGCGGAGAAACCTCAGGTGACTGTCCAGACAGCTGGCTGTTTCTGTCAACTCACAAATTTTTTGGAAGTTGCTTATGTGCACTTCCTGTTTTTATTTTTGTTAGCTAATATTATTTCCTTCTTGGGTCTCTGAGGGAGTTGAAGATTAGTTAGTTATAGTTGAAGGTTAGTTAGTTATAGTTGAAGATTAATTAGGATACATTTTGTACTTACCAAAATAGGATAGATAATGAAATTATTTTCTCTGAATTTGTCAAATACAAATGGACTAGACATTGTTTAGGTATTTATTACTTGTATATATTGTATATAGTTATTGTACTTTTGTATATAGTTTTTCTTATATTAGTTATAAGCTTTTTCTTTTTTTTCCTTTTTATTAAAATAGAAAAGGGGAAATATGGTGATATTTTATTTGTATTAAAATGTTATTTGTATGTTAATAAATAAAGTTGCCCGGGGGTCAGAGCTATTAGCAAGCCATAGGAAAGCAGGGCATTGGTGGCGTACGCTTGTAATTCCAGCACTTGGTAGGCAGAGCTGGGTAAGTCTCTGTGTGTTCAGGGATACAGCCATTATTGGATACACATGCCTTTAATCTTAATACCAATCATGGAAAACCTGGAGGCCTATACAGACAGGCCGTGAGGAGGCGGTCATGTGGTTGGGTTTACAACCAATGAGAAGGCAGGACAGGAACTCTATATAAAGACTTTAACACAGGGGTAGCTCTGGTTCGGAGAGGTAGGACCACCGCAGGAGGAAGGGTAAGGTTTTAGCTCTTAGCTCTGACCTCTTGGCTTTCTTCTTTGCATTGGTTCTGTGTTTCTTATTTAATAAGAAGGTTGGATACATCTACAGACCAGAGTCCATTATTCTGGGAAAGCATGCATTGCTTAGTCTATGATGCCAACCACAGAGAAATGAAAAACCAACACTCATTTGGCCATCTCCTTTCCCTACTTTATTCTGTCTGGGCCCCCACCATACAAGATGGTGCCCACCACTTTAGTGTGGGTCTTCCTTCAGTTAACTCTGTCTAGAAATGCCCTCACAGATACATCCAGAGTTGTTTCCTAGGTGGCTCTAAAATCCAGTTGAGAATGAAGATTAAGCATTACAATATGTTGGAAGTCTTATAAAAGATTTTGAAATGCACAAAAGAAATTACATTTCATGAACTACAGGGCATTTTGTGAGATGTATACCTTTGCTTTGACTACATTACTATATAACTGTGTAGAGACAAAGATTACGTTTAGGAAGTTGATAGGTACACATAAAAATCTGATACCCATAACAATGAATATGATTCCTAAACACAGGATGAAAAAGATATTGTGTGATAGAGAATATAAGTTTTTACAAATGGTATTTTCTTAGAATCATTTTGAATATCCCTATTGGTTTCCTTATTAATGGGTGAGTTTGGTAACTTATTTGGAACATTTTGTTTGCATAATATTCTTTAAAAAAAAACTTTAGAGTATCTTCTATTATTATTATCATTATTATTATTTTATTGTGTGGAGGGGTACATGTGCCATGACATGGGGTCAGAGGTCAACTTTGTGGAGGGGGTTCTCTTCTTTAATAATTATATGGGTTCCAGGGATGGACCACCAGGTCATCAGGCTTTACTTGCTAAGCAATCTCACCAACCCTACTTTTACCTCTTTGAAAAATGTTTTTCTTTTCATTTAAAAATTATATTAATTAGCTAGGTGGTGGTGGTACACACCTTTAATCCCAGCACTCTGGAGGCAGAGGCAGGTGGATCTCTGTGAATTCAAGGCCAGCCTGGTCTACAGAGTGAGTTCCAAGACAGGCAGGGCTACACAGACCTTGTCTTGAAAAACTGGGGAAAATTTATTTAACACACATGCAGTGTATGTGTGTGTGTGTGTGTGTGTGTGTGTGTGTGTGTGTGTGTGTGTGTCCATTTCCACCCATGCTTGTGGGTGCCACCCTGTGTGGGTGGAGGTCAGAGGACAACTTTCTAGAGTTGGATCTCTCCTTCCATTACATGGATCCTGGAGATCAAACACAGTCCACAGGCTCATAGGCAAGCACCTTTATCTGCTGAGCCCTCTAGACATGTTCTAAATTTATCATTTTCACTAAGTTTCCAGAGAGAACTCATACACCATATTACTGATGAGCACATTAAGGTTGTTTAAACTTAAATGTCTTTTCCCCTTCTTGGGTCCTAGAAGGTGAATGCTAAGTTGAGGGCACTGTTCCTCTAGCTTCTTTTTCTTCTTTCTAATGATTTTCAGTTCTTCTTTCTGATTTACTCATGGCTGGTTAGTTTACTTCCCTTCCACTCATAGTAACAACAGTCAGAAAATTGGTTTTACCAGCCATTTGGTAATCCTTCTAAGGGAACTAATAGTTTATAGAAGGATGATCCCTAGGTGAGAGGTGTCAGCAAATCTAGTTTAGTAGTGTTCTCTGGCTGTCTCTGTCATTTTATAAGACTCCCATACTAGCTGGGAAGAACAGTTTCTTTTTCTCTACTGCACCAAACTCTTTAATGTTTCCACATTTCTTTTTGACCTGGGGCTGAAACTGTAGAACTAACACTACATTCTTTATATGTCAATGTGTCTGGCTAGAATGAAAAAAGACTTGCACCCATTACTATGAGAGGACAGGAGATCGTGCTACCCTTGTCAAGTCATAATAAGTCAAATCATCATTTCTCCAATTAAAGGAGGATCTTTGTTACAGAAACAAGTACACTCTTTTTGTTTCTTCGGTTTTTCGAGACAGGGTTTCTCTATGTAGCTTTGTGCCTTTCCTGGAACTTACTCTGTAGCCCAGGCTGGCCTCAAACTCACAGAGATCCGTCTGCCTCCACCTCCCGAGTGCTGGGAATAAAGACGTGCGCCACCACGGCCCAGAGTACAAGTACCCTCTTATATAAATCAAATACTTCTAAAATTCCCCCAAATAAGGACATTCAATCTCTAGTATTTTGAACATGCAATTTGAGAAATACTCTTCCAACAGAAATTATTGGGGCAGAAATAATCCAGGTTCAAAAACTTAAGGGAAATCTTTGACAAATAAAATATTAATTTTTGTTATAAAAAGGTTATTTGCAAAGAAAATCTATTACATATAATGCACTATTATATTTTATTTTACTTGGACATGAAGAGATTACTTTGAGTTTCCCAAACATACTTAAGGTTATAAATAAGCTATTGTTAACATTAACTAATGTTTAAGATGATAAAAAAATGTACATTTGTTAAAAAATGAATTGTTATTCTGATAAGATCATTATGCAAATAGTAATAACCCTTATTAATGTCTACTTAAATAAATCCTATGGTTTGTAGTACTTTAAAAACTTTGACTTACCTGGGTGTGATGGCCTGCGTTTTTTAATGCCAACACTCAGGAGGCACTGGACAGCAGCGGAAAGCCGATTTTTATGAGTGCCAGGACAGCCAGAACTACAGTTAGGCCCTGTTTGAAAGAACTTTTTGAATTAATAAAAAATTGGGCTATTTAATGGATACTCTTTGTATGACTAAACATGTCAGCATACATTTAAGATTTTAGAGTTTTGGGGTTGGAAAGTTGGTTCAGTGGTTGAATGTGTACTACTGGAGTTCAGTTCCCTGCACCCATGTTAGGGGGTTGGCAACTGACTGTAACTCTAGTTCCATGGGGTCCCATGTTCTCTTCTGGCCTCTGTAGGCACTGCACACTCATGCACACACAAGCATACACTGACACATAGGTAGGCATAGTTAAAAGTCAATGTTTAAAAAAGATTTGAGAGTTTTGTTTCTTGGTTATTTAGAAAGACCGCATCTCTGGTTAAGATGAACTTTTTTTTTTTCCACTTGTAAGAAAGTGTAAAATGACTGTGGCAGTCACAGAAATTTGTGTTCCCCATACAAACGGACTCTTTTAGTCTCCTAAAGTGCTTGAATAGGACTGTACCCAATTACACATCCTTGTTGGAGAATGACAGGAAGATGAAAACAGTCTCTTTTGGGCAAAGGAGAAGGGCAAGTTTTGTTATGTGAAAAGAGAGTAACTGCACCTGCCAAGCCCCTTCCCGATGGCTGACCGCCTCTTCCGGACAACTTCGGGTTCTTCTGGGGCTACACGTCACTGTTCTCGCTTCCCGGTAACTAAGGTGACAGGAGGGACTTCCCTCTGAGGCAAACAGGAGTCGTGTTGTGTCAGGGCGGACGCCCGAGGAGCGCGGGATGCGTTTGGATGAGGGCCCACAGGCGCCGAGCTTCTGTGCAGGAGAAACTTTTAGGGATATATTCGAGAAAGTATGCACCCTAAGAAACTCTGAATTTCCAAGTTTGAAGTGTGAGAAACTACGGCTTTGCCCTATTCAAAGATGGCGGCGCAGCGTTTCTGACTGTTTCGCTTTTACTCGTCAGCCAGAGAAGCGCGCTCTGATTGGCTAGAACATGGCGCCGTAGAATGACGTATTGGAGCACTGACCAATCGACTGTGAGCTGAGGTGGACTTGGTGGTGGAAGCCAGAGCCGAGTTCTGGGTGTCCGTGGGGCGCGGAAGACTCTGTCCAGGTGAGCGGCTCCGGACAGGTGAGCGGCCCTGCTCTGTTGAATGGGCGCTTAGGAGGCGAGAGATGCCGGGGCAAGGGGGGCTGCTTCTGGGAGGAGTCCTGTTCTCGTCAGGCTGAGCAGTCAGAGGAACTTGATGAACCAGAAGCCGGATGAAATGCCTGATGGCAGAGGACCGGCTTCTGACTCCTTAGCCTGCGGAATTGGGGTGGTGGTAGTGGCGTGAACATCCGGAAGGACCGAATCCCCATGAAAACCTTGAGTTTTGCTTTTTGATAAGTAAAACCAGAACCCAGATCTTCAGTACAGGATTAGGTGTTGTTTAGCCGTGTCTACAGATGGTTACTAAGTCCTGGAAAGTTATGTCCTGGAGAGGTGAGAGCCTGGAGAGTGGCTCAGATGTTTTATTGGATGCCTTTCTAGGCCTTTTATTCATTCATTCACTCATTCATTCATTCACTCACTCACATATTTACTTCTTCAGATATCCTTACATGTTGAGAATTTGATATGAGCAGTGGACTTAAAAATGTACATTTTCTCGACACATAGAATTTAATGAAAGAAGCCGGGCGGTGGTGGCGCACGCCTTTAATCCCAGCACTCGGGAGGCAGAGCCAGGCGGATCTCTGTGAGTTCGAGGCCAGCCTGGACTACCAAGTGAGTTCCAGGAAAGGCGCAAAGCTACACAGAGAAACCCTGTCTCGAAAAACCAAAAAAAAAAAAAAAAAGAATTTAATGAAAGTACATAGAACTAAAAAGGATTCATGAATTCATTGGAATCGTCTGTGCGTTATGTGTGCAGTATTAAGAAACCGTGGTCTAGAAGGGTCAGGAAAGGAGGCCATGGGAAACAGGGAGCAGATTTTAATATGTAGATACTTGGGGACCTGTACCTTTAAATAAAGAACTTTAAAGAGAGGTTACCGTTATTTAATGGGGTTTGCTGAAGTAGTTGCTAAAAGTGGTGATATTAGAATGTATGTACCTGTGATTTATTTATTTATTTGGCCCCCAGGAAGGTACATAGTGCTTTCTTCGTAGTCAATGTTTCAGCTTCCTGTGTTTGCCAGAAATAACAAATAGATGCCTTAGAGTCTCAGTTGGAACAGACATTTGGGATTTTTTGTTGTGTGGATTCTGTATGGTAGAATAATTAATTTGCTTTTCTGGGCATGTAAAATTGCCCTTATCCAAGTTATTTGTAGTATGGTATTCCTCAAAGGAGACAGTTGTTATCAAGCACTTTTGTCATTAAAAGCCACTTTAGTATTTTATATATACAAAATATTACACACACACATACACACACACATACACACACACATATTTCCTTTTTTTTTTTTTTTTTTTTGGTAGGATCCCCCTGTGTAACCCAGGAGGCTTTGAACTCCTTTGGTTCTTCTGCCTCAACCTCTCAAATATGGATATTACAAGAATTTGTCCCTCCACCCCCATTCTCATCTTATAGATTCCATTTTCTTGCTTTCCTTTTTCTTTGTCTTATTTATTTATTTATTTGTGTGATCATGTGCATGATGTGTGTGCACCTGTCAACTCACCCATGTTTAGGGCAGAAGGGTAATGCTGTAGTATTGGGACTCTCCTTATACCTTTATGTGGGATCTGAGGACCAAACTCAGGTTGTCAGACTTGTGGGGCAAGCACTTTATCCACTGGGCCATCTTGCCAGTCCTTGCTTGTGTTCCTAAAGGGCTTGTTCAGTGGAACCTCAGTAACTTCTGGGACAATCAGTGTATTTTAGATCACAAAAGGATGCATCCACTCAACAACATTGGGGTTATCTGAGTCTGAAAGCTTAGTGTGAAGGACTGATTTACCAGGGTCTTTCAAGGATGAGCATGAGCAAACATGGTCAGGAAGGAGGACAAGGTGAGACCCAGTACAAAAGCAAACTCCCCTTCATAGTTTTGGTATGCACACTAGAAATGCTTGAGTGCCTGGCTGCTCCCATTAGTAACCGGTTTCTCAAATCAGCATGCAGTTCTTTTCTCCACAGTGAGCAAAGTGTTTGTATGTGTGTGTGTGGGGGTGGGGGGGGGCAGCACAAAGGCTAAGGTTACTTGGAATGTAACATTTCATACAGTGTTTACTTTGATTTATAAAGAAAGGAAGGGAAGTAGGAAAATTGCTGGCTGATGAAACAGAGTTTGAGACTTACCTTTGGACACGTGATTGAAATTGGCTTGTATGAGGAATTTAGCTCAGTGGTAGAGTGCTTGCCAAGCATGCACAAGGCCCTGGATTTAACCCTTAGCATCACAATCAAATAACTAAATAGTAGTAATATCCAACTACACACAGCTGACAAATGGTCAAGCAGTTCAACCTTTAATCTCTTTGACTAATTTTCTTTTGAAGTTCTGCAGAGATGGTTTGAGAAAGTGGCCTGATTAGTTTTTTTTGCCAACTTGACACAAGCCATTGTCATTTGAGAAGTGGGGGACCTCAATTAAGAAAATGCTCCTATCAGGTAGGCCTGTGGGGCATTTTCTTGATTGATGATTGATGTATAGGGGTCCAGCCCACTATAGGCAGTACTACCCCTGGGCAGGTGGTCCTAAGTTGTATAAGAAAGCAGGCTGAGCAAGCCTTGAGGAATGAGCCAGTGAGTGGTGTTCTTCCATGGTGTCTGTATTAGTTCCTGTCATGAGCTCTTGCTCTGGCTTTCCTGGAAGATGATGGACTATAGGAGTAAACTGAAATAAACCCTTTCCTCCCCACATTGCTTTTGGTCATGGTCTTTTTTGTTTGTTTGTTTTTTGAGACAGGTTTTCTCTGTGTAATAGTCCTGGCTGTCCTAGAACTTGCTTTGTAGACCAGGCTGGCCTCGAACTGCACAGAGATCCACCTGCCTTTGCCTCCCAAGGGCTGGGATCAAAGATGTGCACCACCATACTCGTCTTGGTCATGATCTTTAGCATAGCAGTAGAGAGCTAAGTATTCAACTTTGGGGTTCTGAGAGAAGAAAGTTGCTGTTTTCCTACAGTGACAGGTTTTTCCATACTATGTTTGTGAAACACTATGTTGTAAGATCATCTCTTTGTTTGGGATTGAGTGCTGGATTTCTGGTGTGAACCACTGCACCTGGCTTGGGGCCTTCTTTTATTTTTTGAAGATCAGCTGAGAATGTTGCATATAATAATTAAAGCTTTATTTTTAGTTTCTTCTTAGACTATGGCAACATATCTGGAGTTCATTCAGCAGAATGAAGAACGAGATGGCGTGCGTTTCAGTTGGAATGTGTGGCCTTCTAGCCGCCTTGAAGCCACAAGGATGGTTGTGCCCTTGGCTTGTCTCCTCACTCCTCTGAAGGAACGCCCAGACCTCCCTCCTGTGCAGTACGAACCTGTGCTTTGCAGCAGGCCGACCTGCAAAGCTATTCTCAATCCCCTGTGGTACGCATTCCTTAAAAGCACTGGTCAAAATGATAAGTGCAGTAAATTGTCATCTTTATGCAGTCCTCATAAAAGTCACTTGATTGCTATAGAAGAGTTTCCAGTTTGAGATGAGAGTAAGTAGATGTTGAGATTCTTAGAGGATGAGTGCTCATGGAAACTTCTGCTGTGATACTTCAGAGGAAATTGGAATCTTTTTTTTTTTTTTTTTTTTGAGGCAGGTCTCTCTACCCAGCCCTGGCTGTCCTGGACTCATTATGTAGACTGGCCTCCACCTCACAGAGATCTTCTTCCTCTGCCTTCCAAATGCTGGGATTAAAGTGTCCCTTGAAGGAAATTGGAATCTTATTTGAACAAGGGGAGGATAGAACAAGGGGAGAGTTTGGAATTGTCCCTCCATCCATCCCTCCCTTCCACCCCCCAGATTAGCAGTTTGCTTCTGGCTTTTTTTTTTTTTTTTTTTTTTTTTCTGTGACAGGGTTTCTCTGTATACTTTTGGAGCCTGTCCTGGAACTTGCTCTATAGACCAGGCTGGCCTTGAACTCACAGAGATTTGCCTGCCTCTGCCTCCTGAGTGTTGGGATTAAAGGTGTGCGCCATCGTCGCCCAGCCAAGGGATGGCTTTTAAAGTATTAAAAAATCTTTTTGTATATACCCTATATGATGATGTAGTATGTCTGGAAGAAGTAGTAGACAGAAGAATTTGTGTGTGTATGTGTGTGTGTGTGTGTGTGTGTGTGTGTGTGTGTGTGTGTGCTTACATGAGTGGACATGCATATGTGTATGCCATTTGCATGTAGGTACCTGTGGAGGGCAGAAGAGGGAGTTGAATTTCTTGGAGCTGGAGTTGCAGGAGATGAGGGTTACCTCGCATGGATATTAGGAACTAAACTTTGTTTCTCTACAAGAGCAGCAAGTTAACCACTAAGCCATTGCTCCAGCCTGGCAGAAGAAATTTTGACTCCCAATAATTTTACTGTTGAGTGAACTTTTTTAAACCTGAGATTCTATTCTATTCATATTTGGGCACTATTGGGAATAAATTTTTCCATTATTTGTTGAGGTAGAGTGTCCATGTTGCATAACTTGGTCTCAAACTCTAGGGCTTGTGTGGCCGTCTGGCATCTGGGAGGATATGAGACTGCAGAAGTGTACCACCATGCATGGCTGAAGGAACTTTGACGCAAGTTGAGAGTGTTAGAATTTTGTATGCAGGAGCGCTCTTTCCTTTATTTCCCTTTGCTTTTCTTTCCAAGCCCATATTAGGAAAGTCTCTACCCTGCTTATAAAATGATAACCGTTGCCTCGTAATATCCTAAGTGCAGGAAGGGAGAAGAAGCAATAGAAGCTTTATCATGAACCCTTTCTAGCAGCTTTACCCACCTGGAAACATGCTTTCTGTGGTCTTAGTGTGAAATGTGCTTTTATTATTGAAATTAAGAGGTTTTATATAGGGACTGGAGATAGGTGGCTCAGTGGTTAAGTGTACTTGCTACTCCTGCAGAGACCCATGGTCATGTTCCCAGCACCTACATGTTAGCTCAGCCTTCTGTAACTGCGGTATCAGGGGATCCTTTGCCCTCTTCTGGCTTCTGCTAGACAAGAATGTGCTGCATATACATACAGGCAAAACACAGATACACATAAAATAAGACTAAACAGATCTTTTAAAAAAATTTTTTTCATTGTTGAACAATAAAAATGTTGGATATATCTTGACAAACAGGTTAAAATGAAGGCAAAAGGAAATAGCTTATAGTTTATGTGAGTGAAAAATATCTTAAAACATGATCATAGAACTGGAAAATAGAATTTACTAAGTACAAATATTTGAGGGAAATTTTTGGTGTACTTGATAGCCAGTTTTCCCTGCAGCGCAATTTCACAAACCCTTCTGTATATGCACACTCATAGAAACACATTCCTGTTTAATTTATGGAACTTTAAATCTACATGTGATTGCTTTCTAGCTTGAAAATAAATATAATATCTGTTTGTGATATTTATTTATCTTTTTTACAGTCAAGTTGATTATCGAGCAAAACTTTGGGCTTGCAATTTCTGTTTTCAAAGAAATCAGGTATGTAATTTAAGACTCCATATATATTTATATTTATATGTTTTGTCTTTGTTGTACTACACTGGAAAAGATTACATGAACCTGAATTTCTTCTTCTTTTTTTTTTTTTTTTGAAATGAGAAAATTTTTTCATTCATTTTACATACCAATCAAAGATCCCCCTCTTCCCTCCTCCTGCCCCCCGCCCCCAGCCTCCTCCTCCTGACCCACTTTCCTCTCCCACCCACAAGAAGGCAAGGCCTCCCATGGGGAGGCACATTCAGTAGAAGCAAGTCCAAGCCCTTCACCCTGCCTCAAGGCTACACGAAATGTCCCATCATAGGTAGTGGGCTCCAAAAAGCCCACTCATGCACCAGAGATGGATTCTGATCCTACTGCCAGGGGGCCTCCCAAGCAGATCAAGCTGCACAACTGTCTCACCATGTAGAGGTCCTAGTCCAGTCCCATGTAGGCTCCACAGCCATTGACCCATCTTTCATGAATTCCCTCTTGTTTGGTTTAGTCATCCTTGCTTGTTTCCCCATCATGATCCTGATGTACTTGCTCATAGAATCCCTCTTCTCTTTGACTGGACTCCTGGAGCTCTGTCTGGTGATTGGCTGTGGATCTCTGCATCTGCTTCCATCAGTCATTGGAGAAAAACTCATGTTTGTCCTTCTGAGTCTAGGTTACCTCACTCAGGATGATATTTTCTATTTCCATCCATTTGCCTGCAAATTTCATGATGTCATTGTTTTTCTCTGCTGAGTAGTACTCCATTGTGTATATGTACCACATTTTCTTAATCCATTCTTCAGTTGAGAGGCATCTAGGTTGTTTCTAGGTTTTGGCTATTACGAGTAATGCTACTGTGAACATAGTTGAGTATGTGTCCTTGTGTGGTTGAACATTCCTTGGGTATATGCCCAAGAGTGTTATAGCTGGGTCTTGAGGTCAATTGATTCCCAATTTTCTGAGAAACCGCCATACTGATTTCCAGTTTGCACTCCCACCAACAGTGGAGGAGTGTTCCCCTTGCTCCACATCTTCTCCAACATAAGCTGTCTGCAGTGCTTTTGATCTTAGTCATTCTGACAGATGAACCTGAATTTCTGTCTACACTGATAATTAGCAGTTTTTGGTGATCTCAGGTAATGGCTTTTGTTAGGCACATTTGTGTTGAATAGTAGGGGACATAGAATTCTCTTATTTTTGTAAGTTTTCTATAGGAAGTGAATATGTTACCTAAAGAAAATAGATCTGCTGTGTAGCATGAATCTTAGAAGGTCTTATTAATAAAATCAAACCTGAGGCCAGTTATTGGGGTTAACACTGGAAGTTCAGAGAGACAGAATAAGCCACAGCTAACCTCACTTGGCCAACTTCTCAGTTGGTTTTGTTTCCTCAGCCTGGAAGCTTCTGTGTCCTTATCCCAATGGCTCTCAGCTGAACTGCTGCTCGAAAGCCTGAAGCTTAACCAGCTAAAAGCTTAACCAGCCAAATGCTTCTAGTTTCTGGTCCTCACACTTTATATACCTTTCTGCTTTCTACCATCACTCCCTGGGATTAAAGACTCGCTTTCTGGGATTAAAGGTGTGAGTCGCCATGCTTGGCTGTATCCTTGAACAGATGGATTTCTGCCTCTGGAATGGTAGGATTAAAGGCGTGTGCTACCACTGCCTATCCTAAGTATCTAGTGGCTTTTCTGTTCTCTGACCCCAGATAAGTTTATTAGGGTACACAATATTTTGGGGAACACAATACCACTACACTGCTGTTTATATTTTACTGGACTACATTAATTTTCTAATTAGATGGTACATAGTATTGAATTTTCATCATCTTGTAACTTTAGGGTTCCAGTAGCAGTGTTGAGCTCCTTCTGCTTTAAAAGAATTGCTGGGCGGTGGTGGTGCACACCTTTAATCCCAGCACTCCCAGGTGTATCTCAGAGTTTGAGGCCAGCCTGGTCCACAGAGTGAGTCCTAAGACAGCCAGAGCTACAGAGAAACCCTGTCTCAAAAAAACAAACTAATAAGTGTCATTGTTGTCCCTCCCTGCAATAGGGTTTTTCTGTGTAGCCCTGGCTGTCCTGGAACTCAGAGATCTGCCTAGCTATTGGCTGTTTAGCTTTTAATTACACCATTCAGGTGCCTTGGGTAGGCAAGGTGAAACAGTAACACATCTTTACATAATTAAACAAATGCAGTATAAACAAATGCACCACATCTTTACACAGTTAAAGTACTATTCCACAGCAGTGCCCTTGACCTCTCTGGCTCCTATAATCCTTTTTCCTCCTCCTTCAGGTTTCCCCCAGCTTGGCCTAATGTTTGCCTGTGGGTCTCTGTATTTGTTTCCATCAGTTGCTGGATGAAGCCTCTCTGATGACAGTTGGGCTAGGCACCAATCTATGTGTATAGCAGACTATTGTTAGAAATTATATTGACATTTTTTTCCCCCTCCAGTCATATTTGGTTCTCTCCTAGATCTCTGGGTCATCCAGCCTGTGGTTCCTGGCACTCCAGGCAGTGTCAGGGGTGGGCTTACTCTCCTGGCATGGGTTTTGGCTAGCCTTTTGGCTAAGATCAAGTATAGTATCTGTTTTTATCAGTAAATCTTTTTGAAGGTTATATGGTCATAGACATGTAAGAGAATTAGAAGCTTTGAGTGCTAATATTTGTGTTTTAGCAACATGTTTTATATTTTGTGCATTCAGAATTAACATGGTCATTTTATAAATGACCAGTTTTATAAATGGAAAATAAGTGTATCATGCATAGCTGGGGCTCGAGCTGGCGCTCAGTAGTGGTGCGCTTGCCCATTCCTAGGCTTAGTCTCCAGGATAAAGAAAAAAGTGGAACACAAATCACTTTTAGCCCTTATTAAATGTTGTTTTGTTTTCTTATTAGTTCCCTCCAGCATATACAGGCATATCGGAGATGAATCAGCCTGCTGAATTGATGCCTCAGTTTTCAACAATTGAGTACATGATCCAGGTAATTTTGTCATGTGTTTGATGAACACCGTTAAAATTGAGTTTCTTTTGAAATACTTGAAGTGATACAGATCTCTAATCTGTCCGTGAAAGGTAAAGCTGGTGTCCTAGGAGCGGGATTCTAGACAGTATGTTATAGTACATTTGTGTTACTGCATTATTTTCAGGTCTGAAAGGCTTCAAAAAATGTGGAATTGACTAAATTTAAAGCCTGTCTCCACAACCTTCTCCATTTCACCTGAGACACTTCATCAGCTTAAAAAATGTATAGCTCCTTTCCTGTCTGAGGGTCCTTGTATGCTAGAAGGAGAGATGGGCTTGCAAGGATCATCTTGCCCTGAATGTAAATCCTGCAGTCTGTTTTCTTTCCCACCTCCCTGCTCTTAGCTGCATCCTCTGGATCTCCCTACGCATTCTGAGACTTAGGCTCCTCACACACCCTGCTCATGATCTTCCTATCTTGAGAATGAGTTCAGTGAAATCAGCAAACCAAATGCATCTGAGGAGATGAATAGTAGTGGAGGCTAGCCTGGGCTAGAAAAGTTAGACCCCCTCCTTCCTATTCTCATCATTGACTTCTTTCTTCCACATCCCCTATCTCATTTAGTAGACCATCCATTGACATACTATTCAGAACATACCTAGATTCCATCTGCCATACCTTCCCCATCCCTAGCATCCTGGGCCACCTACCTCCTCTCACTAGATACACTGACAGTCTCTTAGCTGTTCTCCCTCATTTACCTTTGCCTGTTTGTATTTTATTCGTAACCCAACAGCCAGTGTAACTCTAGAAACATATGTCGTGTTACTTCTCTGCTCAGAAGCCTCCACTGATGGACTGAATTGGCCCCTCCTCACTCAAAGCAAAAGATAGTCTTCAAGGCCTCGTGTCTCATCTCCCCCTAGTGTCCTTGTTCAGCCCCATGGGCCTTCTTGACTCCTTAAGTGTCACACCTGCCAGAGGGTGTTTGATCTGTCTCTGTCCTCAGGTTGGAGCTCTTTTTCACTCTCTTTCTGTGTTGCTCCCCACTGCCCTGCCCTCTTCCTCCCCATAACCATGATTTGTTAATGTATTTGTTTGTTTATGTGTGTATGTGTATGGATACACATGTGGAGGTCAGAGGATAATTTGTGGAAGCCAGTACTTCTACCTTGTGGGTTCTGGGGATTGAATGCAGGTCATCAGGCTTGGTTTGGCTTTTATCTGTTGAGCCATCTTGTCCCCTCAAATTTTACCTTCTTCCTGAAGCTACCCTTTTCTCTCTCTTTCTCTTTTATTTTCATTTTTTATTTATTTACTTTTTGAGACAGGGTCTCACTATGCAGTCCTGGCTGCCCTAGAACTCAGCCGATAGACCAGGCTGGTCTCACACTCACAGATCCATCTGCCTCTGCCTCCTAAGTGTGGAGATTAAAGGCATGTGCCACCATCCCCGGCCCTGATCTCTGTTTAACACAGGGGTCTGCCACCTTCCTCCATCTTAGATGTGGCTGCCCCCTGGCCTCCCCGCCCAGGTTTGTTCCTTTTGGCTGGCAGGAATCTGTTCTTTCTGTTCAGTGATGTTTCCCAAGGTCTGCAGTAATGCCTGGCACATAGTGGGTATTAAATATTAAATACGTTTTTAGATATATGTTTGTTTTGATGTACTCTGGGTCATTTGATGAGGTAATTAGAAGCTGGTGTGGATCTTTAGCTACACAGTTTGTATCCTCCTGAATATTTACAGGTATAAAGACTGGCTGTTTTGTACTGATTGGCTCTGTGCTAGCTGGTTATATCTATGTATATACTGATCATGATGCCCTTTTTCTCTGCCCAAAGCGAGGTGCTCGAACCCCTCTGATCTTTCTCTATGTGGTTGACACATGTTTGGAGGAAGATGACCTTCAAGCACTCAAGGAGTCCCTGCAGATGTCCTTGAGTCTCCTTCCCCCGGATGCTCTGGTTGGTCTTATCACTTTTGGGAGGATGGTGCAGGTTCACGAGCTAAGCTGTGAAGGAATCTCCAAGAGTTATGTCTTCCGAGGGACCAAGGATTTAACTGCCAAGCAAATACAGGTTTGTGCCTTGTACAGAAGCAGGACCCAGGGCAGATCTATGATGCTTATTATTTCCTTTTAGAGTTAGTGGAAACTGGATCTTCCTGTTTTTCCTTTTCAGGATATGCTGGGCCTGACCAAGTCAGCTATGCCCATGCAGCAAGTGAGACCTGCTCAACCTCAGGAGCAGCCTTTTGTTTCCAGCAGGTGAGCGAGATATCAGTATAGAGGGTTACATGTTCTGTGGTGGGCATGCCCGACAGCTCAGGAGAGCAGGAAGAGCGATGCTGGAACTTCTGGTTCCACAGTTCTAAGACAAAGAATTAAAGACTAGGCCCGGTTGTTATTCAGTTCCATTGGTCCCCTCCTCTTTGGCACATGGCTGTTGTCCTTGATCTTTAAGTAAAGCTGACAAAATAAAAAACACTTTTTTTTTTTTTTCTAGACAGGGTTTCTCTGTGTAGTTTTGGTGCCTGTCCTGGATCTCACTCTGTGGACCAGGCTGGCCTCGAACTTACAGTGATCTGCCTGGCTCTGCCTCCCAAATGCTGGGATTAAAGGTGTGCGCCACCACCGCCCGGCTAAGAACCACTTCTTTTGGGTACTTTCAAATGAACCCATGAGCAGGCACTCACTTCATTCAGTTGACTGAAAGCCTATGGTTGCCTCAGGCCAGGTTAGCAGCCAGCAAATTCAGTACAACACATCTGATGTGCTAATATGCTGGAGACAGTCTTCACTCTGGTGGGAAAGCAGAGTGTTTCTCTCTACACAGCTTCTAAGGCTCAGGAGGCATGCAAACAGAAGCTTCAGCATGATAGAGATAAACAGACCTAAACAAACCGGATCCACACTAGGTTAATTACTAGGATTAAAATTTCATCCTTTAAATTTAATCCAACTGACTTTTTCCTTTTCAATTTGATTTTTTTATGATACATGCATCAATTTGTGATTAAATTAGATTTTATAGTATATTTCACATTGAAATTGCTTAGGATTGCTTTTGTGTTCATAGAGATAATTTTGAAGGAAAAAGTTGGAGTTTTTCCTATTGGATACTTGTTTTGAAAAGCAGTTAACTGCTGACCTAGGGTTGAAGGTCAAGGTATTTATTAAATCACAACTGATGTGCCCTTTTGAAATCCTACAGATTTCTGCAGCCCGTTCATAAGATTGACATGAACCTCACAGATCTTCTCGGGGAGCTGCAGAGGGACCCATGGCCAGTAACTCAGGGGAAGAGACCTCTGCGATCCACTGGCGTTGCTTTGTCCATTGCTGTTGGCTTGTTGGAGGTAAATCAGATTTGTCCAGCGACCTCTCACATCATACAAGCTGTTCTCGTTAGCTTTTTAGAAAATTTCTTGTGCCTTAAGTCAGCCCGTTGTCTGTGCATCAGAAAGTGTTTTAGTCATTGTTGTTCACACTGAGGAGGCACTCGGTATTTTGAAAATACCAAAAAGTTTTTATGAAGAACTAAGGGGATGGGAGCAGTGGAGAGTGCTTTCACTAAAGTGAGAAAAGTGTAAAGCCATCTGGCTGGGAGGAAGTCATCTCTGTCGTGTGTGTCAGCGTGTGTCACTCTGCAGCGCCACTAGTGCCGAGAGCAGGGGAGGAGGCAGGAAAGTGACGAGTCATCTTTGGAGTATTTTATACATAAATGGAAACCACACTCAGAGGTGGAACTGTATGTTTCTGCCATGATCTTTACTCTCTCTTTAGGGCACTTTTCCCAACACTGGCGCCCGGATCATGCTGTTCACTGGAGGCCCTCCCACCCAAGGACCTGGCATGGTGGTTGGAGATGAACTGAAGACTCCTATCCGCTCCTGGCACGACATTGAAAAAGATAATGCACGGTTCATGAAAAAGGCAACCAAGGTAGGTGCCATTGGAGTCCAGCTGTGAGCGTAGTCATGCAGCAGTGTGGACTGCTCTGGGTGAGTGATGGCTGCTTTGCTGACGTCAGAAGGTGTGCGTAGAGTGACACTCCTCCAGATCTTGGCTCCTGTTCACTTACTGTCCCCGTCTATTTCTCCGGTTAGAGAGAATGGTTCTAGAGTGTTTAAAGAGCTTTGAATCTAAAGCTGTATTCTTTTTCATGGCTGTTTTATAGGCAGCAAATTCCATGCTTCTATTTTTGATTACATCCTTAGGTGTATTAAGGCGTGCCTTGGGAACTCTGCTTCTGTTTTCTAAAGACAGTTTTCTTTTTTTACTTACAGCATTATGAGATGCTGGCTAATCGGACTGCGACAAACGGTCACTGCATTGATATTTATGCTTGTGCCCTTGATCAAACTGGACTTCTGGAGATGAAGTGCTGTCCGAATCTTACAGGGTATGTTGACATTGAACACCTAGGAACTGTGTTGAGGGAAGAAATGAATGATGGAGTCATAGGGGTGAGTGAGGCTAACTTGGGAGTTTTCAGGTCACTCAGTTTTGGGTTCACTGGCTGGAAAGGGGGTGGGGCCTGTGGAGGAAGAAGCGGTGCTTAGCAGGAGGAGGTCTTGGTGTCACTGGAAACAAGCCCCATCAGAGTAACTGTTTCTTCTTTGGAGTTGTCAAACTCCGAAGACCAGGCGTAGTGCTAGTGTGGAGTCCCCAGTCTTCGGCTGTGCACTTCGTTGTGATAGGCGAGTAGTAGCATCTGAGTGTCAGAGTGTCATGCAATTAGAAGAAACTTGACCTGGCTAAGAGACTCTGTGACTAGTGCAAGTTACACACCGAGTCAGTACTGTCCTCAACTGAAAACGTAGAAGGAATTCTCAGCTTGCAGTGATAACTGGACTAGGAACCGTAGGGCTCATGGAACAGATTAGAAATGTTCTTTGGCTTTCCTCAGACCTTCTGAATCAAAAGCTCTTGCAGCAGCTGTCTAGATTTGGGTGCTTATGAAAGCTCAAGAAGCACTGAGGTGAAGCCCTGATCTGAAGCTCAGCTACACTCTAGTGTCAACTAGGGCACTTCCAAGACTCAAGTAAAAAAGAAAGTAAGGAGCCAAACAAGCTACTTTGTCTGTCTTGTCCCCTGGTATAATTAACATGGGGCATGGCTTGGGCATCAGCGTTCTTCCAGATTTTCCTCCAGTGAGTCTAACATGAAGTAGAGTTGGAGCACACACAGCCTTGGTTTCTCTGGGAGCTCATTAGAAGTGTAGCCTCTTGCTGAATCAGAACCTACATTTGCCCAAGATCCTATGGACTGGAATACCTGGCAAAGTTTGAGGAGCATCTACAGAGAGCCATGGGTGGGGCCGGAGAGTCTGCATTTCTTTCCCTTAACTTAAATTTTATTTATTTATTTGTTTGTTTGTTTCTTTTTTTTTTTTTTTTTTTTTGGTTTTTTTCGAGACAGGGTTTCTCTGTGTGGCTTTGCGCCTTTTCTGGAACTCACTTGGTAGCCCAGGCTGGCCTTGAACTCACAGAGATCCGCCTGGCTCTGCCTCCCGAGTGCTGGGATTAAAGGCGTGCGCCACCACCGCCCAGCTTGTTTGTTTCTTTATGTGTGCACATGTGTGTGTGTCAGTGCACACATGTGGAGGCCTGAGGACACTTTGCAAGAGTTAGTTGTCTTCTTCCAGTGGGTGGAGCCCAGGGATTGAACGTAGGTTGTCAGACTTGGTGGCAAGCACCTTTACCTGTTTACCATCTCCCTGGTCCAGGTTTCTGCTTTTCTAATCAACCTCCTAGTGGTTCTTCTGTGTTTTCTTAGGGGAGGGCGTAGGAAGAAGAATCTGAGCCACTTGAACCTGTTTTGGAGAGCAGGACAGATTATTAGACGTGGGATTAGGTCCCTCTTGATATGCATCATTGGATCAGTTGTAATAAGTTGAGTTCTCAATGGACCTGGTAGGCACAGCTGTAAAACTTAGCACTCTGGAGGATCTTGAGTTCAAAGGTAGCCTGGGCTGTATAGCAAGAAGTTGACTTTAAAAAGAAAAGCCTCCCCCGCCCCCCCCCCCCCCCCAAAAAAAAAAAAACAAACCAATAGCATACGTGCTGGCAAGCTGGCTCAGCAGGTAAAGGTGCCTGCCTGCCACCAAGCCTCAGACTTGAGTTCAGTCCCAAGACTCATGTGGAAGGAAACAACCAACTCCTGCAGGTTGTCCTCTGACCTCTGTACCCTCTGTGGCATATGTACACCTATACATAAACGTACAAACACACATACATAGAGATGGAGACATGTAATCCCACCCCCACCCAAACCCCCCCAAAAGAAGAAGTTTCAGAACGATCTTGAGAACAAGAGAAGCCCAGGTTCTGGTTGAGTAGGAAGACCTCAGGCAAAGGCATGGTGAGCCCAGGCTGGACTAGAGGAGTAGTAGACGGTTTTCCAGGAAACTCAGTGATTCCCTTAGTGCTTGTTCTCCCTGCTGAGATGATGCGCTTTGCCCTTTGAGCATTCAGTTTAAAGGGGCCACATGAGGACCTGGAGGTACCCTAAGGGGAAGGAGGGAATGCTGGGAACTGCTCAAAACATTTTAGGTGGAGAATGATGAGAGAGAGAGAGAGAAAACGAACCCCAAACATGTTTACTGTCTGCAGCCATGTATGTGCATGAGTGCACATGTGTGTGTGTGTGTGTGAGGGAGGGAGGGAGAGGGAGGGAGAGGATTGTACCGTCTCTGGAGATTGGTTGGCATCTCAAAATCTTTTAGAATATTTTTACATTTACTTTTTTGGTATATGTGTGTGTGTGTGTGTGTGTGTGTGTGTGTGTGTGTGTGTGTCTGTGGATGCACACATGTGTGGCACTTGTATGGACGTCTGAGGGCCATCTGTGGGAGTTGGTTCCCTTCCTCTACCATGTGGGTCCTGGGATTGATCGAACTGAAGTTATCAGACTTAGCAGTACCCTTATGCGCTGAGCCACCTTCCCAGCCCCCTAGAACTGTTTTAAGGATTCTTTGTTTAATGTTTTTGAGGTAGTTTCTTTCCTAAGTACCAGTTGAACTTGGTATTTTTCATTTAAGTTAGTCAGTAGCACGTGTGTGGGCATGGTTTTCTTTGTGTGTGTTAATTATCGTTTGTGAATCCTAAGGGAACAACCAAATGGTTTCTAGTCCTCTTAAATGTGTACTTTCTCCCTTTCTCCCTTAGAGGCCACATGGTGATGGGAGACTCTTTCAACACTTCTCTTTTCAAGCAGACATTCCAAAGAATTTTTAGTAAAGACTTCAACGGAGATTTCAGAATGGCGTTTGGTGCTACATTGGATGTAAAGGTACAAGGCTTTTAGAAAAGTTTTATTTTAAATTAGCTTATATAATTAGTTTATGGAATTTTCATATATACATGATAAACATTTATTATTTATTTGAGGCAGGGTCTCACTGTGTATCCTCAGCTGGCCTGGAACTTGCCATACAGACCAGGCTGGCCTCGAACTCACAAAGATTCACCTGCCTCGTGCTCTACTGTACCCAACCATATTATAGACTTTTGAAACTCTACTGGGTTTAGTGTTGTGACTGGTTCAGTTTGGACACTGGCAGCCTCAGCCCGTAGATACAAGCTTTAAAGACCACTTAAAAGGATTCAACAAGATGGCTATCACCAAGTATATTGCCTGCCGTGGTCCTTTTCTTCTCAAGGATGACATATGTATTGATTAAGTTCTAAACAGAACGTTCCTTGTCCCCCTCAGGCCCTGCTCCGCTCTGCTCCGTCCCACTGTAGGATAGGTGGAGTTAGAGGGGCTTGGGGACAGGCAGTCACACATGGTCAGTATCCACCCAGCCATTGGTGTGAGTCCCTGCCTTACAGTGTAGTCAGACTTTTCTGTGGGCCACCAGCTCACAAATAATGACATGGAGACTTACTATTGATATGAAAGCTTGGCCTTAGCTTGGGCTTTTTCTCAGCTAGCTCTTGTAACTTAAATTAACCCATATTTTTCAGTCTATGTTCGGCCACGTGGCTTGGTTACCGGGTTACCTCTCCTCTGTGCTGTATGTCGGACTTCTTCAGTGTCTTGCTTGTGTCTCCGCCTCTCTTCTTCCAGAATCCCCTCTCTCCCCAGTAGTCCCGTCTATTCTCTCCTGCCTAGCTATTGACCATTCAGCTCTTTCCTAAACCAATCACAGTGACACATCTTCACACAGTGTGAACAAATATTCTGCAACAGCACAGAGTAGGGTTTGTATTTAAGAAGAACCCAGGTGTTCTAAGAGCATCATGAGCTGAAGTCTGTATTTCTTTATAGGAATTCATAGTCCTAGACGGCTGACTCTTAAGTCATTGAGAAACCTTTGAAAGAGACCCTTAGAAACTATGATTAGAATTAGAGAAAAGCATTAAGTTATCTAGGATAACCTTTAAACAGCATTTTTAAATGTTTGAGGGGTTTATTTAGCAGAGTTGGAGGTAATGAAAAAAGAAAGGGGTGGAAGACAGCTCAGTAGGCCAAGTGCTGTTGTTTAGGTGTGAGTACTGGGCTTAGTACCCCAGCATCCATGTAGAAGTGTGTGTGTGCTTGAGGGCTTTTTCTTTTTAGATAAAGAGGAATAGACTGAGCACAGGCCTTTAATCTCAGCACTCGGGAGTCAGAGGCAGGTAGATCTTTGAGTTCAAGGCCGGCCTGGTTTATAGAGCAAGTTCCAGAATAGCCAGGACTACACAGAGAAACCCTTTCTCAAAACCTTGCCCACCCCCAAACAAAAAGGAATGGATGGAATTCACCTTATTGTGTAAGTCTGAATTCACTTCAATAAAGTGAGTTCAGTCTTAAAAATCTCCATTTTTTGGGGTTGGAGAGATGGCTCAATGGTTAAGAGCATGGGCTGTTCTTCCAGAGGACCTGGCTTCAGTTCTCAACACCCCCACGGCAGCTCACGACTGTCTGTAACGCCAGTTCCAGGGGATCTGACACCTTCACACCAATGTACATAAACTAAATAAACAAAACAAAACAAAAAAACAACTTCATTTGTTTAAAAAAAATCCAGAGGCAGGAGAATCTGTGAAGTCTAGGCCAGGCTGTTCCAGTGAGTTCCGGAACAGCCAGGACTATAGAGGCCCTGTCTCACCAAAAAAAAAAAAAAAAGGGTGGGGTGGGGTGGGGAGAGGAAATATCCATTGGTCTTATCATTATGTTGAAATTTGTGAATTAAATATTTTTAAACTACTTTTACTGATCAGAAATATGTAAGTAAGTATGAATATGCATGGTGTTTGGAAAAGAATGTAGTATATTTGGTAGAATTGTTATCTTTAATGAGTATAATAATTTCAAAGGTTCAAAAGTGATTTAAGAGTTGAAAATGTCCCCTGGCCAGGAGTGGTGGTGCATACCTGTATCCCAGCACTTAGGCAGAGGCAGGAGGATTGTGAGTATGCGCTCACTTGAGCTGTGTAGGGATTTCCAGGTTAGTCTCAGTTACTTCTTAGGGATCCTACTTCAAACAAATGAATGGTGTGAAAACGATACCATACTGTGTCTTTGTTTGTTTCTTTGTTTTTTGAGACAGGGTTTCTCTGAGTAACCGCCCTGGCTGGGCTGTCCTGGAATTCGATTTGTAGACCAGGCTGGCCTCATACAGCACAGAGGAGAGATCTACCTGCTTCTGCCTCTGAGTGCTGGGATTAAAGGCGTGCGATACCATACTCAGCTACTCTTGGTTTGTTTTTGTTTCTACTGTGCCTTTTTGTCTTGATTTTTGAGGCAGTCTCATGAATTCAAGCTGGTCACAGATTTGCTGTATAGTGAGACTGGCCTTGAACTCAGGATCTTTTGCCTTAGCCTGCTGAGTATTACTACCACACCACTACACCTGTTTTTTTTATGTTTTCCAAGGTGAATTTTGTTGAAGCTTTGATCAATACCTAGTGTTCCTGGAAAAGCTGGAGTGGGCATTTGGATAGTGTAATTCATTAGCGATTTTCTCTGTGGGAATTTTCTCTAGGCTGTTATGTGATCATGGTGACAGCAGATTGGCTCTTAACTTACTGTGTAATTTGTTGTAGACCTCTCGGGAACTGAAGATTGCAGGAGCTATCGGTCCATGTGTATCTCTGAATGTGAAAGGACCATGTGTGTCAGAAAATGTAAGGAAAATCATCACCCTCACCTGCCCTGGAGTAAACTCATTAGCTAAGTCACACACTGATGATCTTGCTTTGTGTCACCTGTGAGGTGTACCTGTGTGAGAGCTCTAATCCTCATTGATGACAACTCCAAGAGGTAGTGTCATCTGTCTTTCTGTCCCTCAGTCTGTCTGAAAGACCAGAGCGGTTAAGTTAACCCTTGCTCAGGGTTGAAGCTGACCCAGAGGAGCTCTGTCTTATGTTCCTCTGACTACATGTGATGTATGGATGCTGTCCCACTGAGAACAAAAAGCCATTCCCTTCAGCAAAGGCAGACATTCAGAATTCTTCCAGAATAACCTGTGTGCCTCATAACTTACAGTTGGTACCCTTGTCTCACTCAGCTGATAAGGAGCTTACTACAAGGGACCCTGAGTTGGTCAGACAGTGGATGACGCAGATACATATGTTATTATATTGTTAATATATTAGAGCAAAGGTCAGTCATCCCTTGGGGTAAATGGCTTTGCTGATGGCCCACATGCTGGGAGTATGCTTTAGCTGAAAAGGCACAGCATCTGGTTTATGAGGTTTCTTCTGCATTGGTCACATGCTTTAATTATAACCTCAGAAGTATGAAAATGCATCAGTGTTGCATCAAGGAATGAAATCATAGACATCCTCTGTGATTAATTTGATCGAGAAGAAGCCCAAGTTTGAATTCTCCACTTCTCTCTTCTGTGTCTTTTGTCTGTCTGTAGTTTGTGGTTACTGCCTATCTGTAATCTCAGCAGTATGTGTCTGTGCCTGTCTGAATGCTGTCTGGTGTCTCACTGTCCCTGTGTCTGTCTGTCTCTGTTGTATTTATTGAACAACACAGAAAGGATCCCATTGGAAAGTAATGAGGGCTTCTTTACAGAAATCACTAACTGTTTTACAAGGGGAAAGGTCATTTTACTGACCCCAACTGACCCGGAAGTGCTCAGTACTACAAACAAACTGTGTCTGTATATTGTTTCTAACATGTATGGTAAATATTTGCTGTATAGGTTGTTTCCAGCCTATTGGGTGTTTTCAGCAAATGATTACAAATATGTATGTTAATACGTACATATATACATTACTCTGGGTCAGGGGCATGGAGGCGTACTTAGTTTAAGATTAAAGCTATGCATTAGCTTAGGTTGTAAAAGCTCATTCTTGGGCTATCCAAGCCAAGTAAGGTTGGTTGTTCCATTGTTCTTTAAGGTTACACTTAAACAGACTGAACACACAGTAGGATGGTCTGTGACCAAGAGGTGTATTTGACTGTGAGGTCTGACAAAAGTTGAGTCTTTCTGAATGCAAGAGCTGTTTTCATGAAAGTGTATCACTGTGGTCTCTGAGGTAGTCTGGGGGTATTGTTCCACAGTCCTGTCTTCCTCTTGTCGTCTTCTTGTCATCCACAGTGGGAGGGTGGGCTCTAGAGTTGTTGCGGAGTTAGGGTGCATAGCTACTTCTTGGTAGCTGAGTAGCTTGGGAAAAATTCTTAATGCTCTGTAATTCAGTGTTTTTAGAAAATGGGAAAGTAACAGTGCCTGCTTAAGAACGTTAGGATTAGCCAGGCGGTGGTGGCGCACGCCTTTAATCCCAGCACTCAGGAGGCAGAGGCAGGTGGATCTCTGTGAGTTCGAGGCCAGCCTGGTCTACAGAGTGAGTTCTAGGAAAGGCACCAAAGCTACACAGAGAAACCCTGTCTTGAAAAACCAAAAAAAAAAAAAACGAATGTTAGGATTAAATGAGGCTGGTCAAATGGAGCACTTTGAATAAGTGGAGCCCTATACGAATTGTCTGTCTATGTCAGAACAGACATTGACAGTGATTATATAAATGAAAGTTTTGCCAAGTTTGGCAGGGGGTTACTGTTTGTATAAACCTCTGTAGTCCTTGGATGAGGCAGTTCTTCCCCAAAGCCCATCTGAAGATTATCTCATTACCTCAGTGTGCTAAGTGACTTGCCCGACCCCTGTTTTTCTGGAAGGGCTTTGGAAGGCTGCCCCATCTGTGAGCTTTAAAGTCTCCCTGATGAAACTTCCTGGAGTAGTTTAAAAAGATACTTTAAAAAATTGGAAAACACTGATTAGCCTTCCAGTCAAATTCAGCATTGTAAGTTTTGGTTGGGGGTTAAGGATGCAAGCAAAGGAAAGCATTCTTCAAGCATGCGGTGGTCTGAGAAGGAATACACTTCCTTTAGCACCCCAGGTGGTGTTGGTATGCCACAGCTGTTGGTGCCACAGCTGCCCTCCCTGTGGAGTTACGATCTCCTGGTGTATTTGCTTTACCAACACTATTTACAGAACCTTTGAAAATAATTTTCAGACATCATGATGCTTGGTTCTTAAGTAATACAATGTGCATATTCTAAAAATAAGGATGTTATACTCTTTTCTTATTGTCAAGTCTGAGAAAATGAACAGTAATCTCGCAGAATGGCATTTAGTCTGCATTCTTTGCCCAGTTTCTTCCTGATGGCCCCCTGTGGCGATTGCCAGTCCCATTCCTTTCAGCATTCCTTTCAGTACCATGTCCTTAGTTTTTGAAACCCTAGACTAGCCCTCATCTTTTGGTTTATTCTCTGTTTCTGTGACACTGATGTGTTGAAGGCAGTGTCCAGTGTCTTCTCTAGAGTAATCTACAGTCTTGGTGTGTCTGCTTCCACACAGTGGTGTTTAAGCTGTTACTCTCCTCCTTGTACTTGAGTGAAGTGGAAGTTAGGTTTAAAGATAAAACTACAGTGTAGATGGGCGAACCTCTCCCACCCTCCTGTTCCTGAATAACCAGTCAGAGGCTTACTATTAATTACAAACTGTTTGGCCTATGGCTCAGGCTTATTACTAGCTAGTTCTTACATCTTAAATTAACCTATTTCTATTAATCTGTGTATTACCACGTGGCCAGTGGCTTACCAGTGCTTTCATGTCTTGCTTCTGGGGTGGTTTGCTGGCATCTCCCAGACTCTGCTCTCTTCTCCCTGTATCTTGGCTTAAACTTTCTGCCTGGCTCTATTCTATCTTGCCATAGGCCAAAGCAGCTTTATTTATTAACCAATGGAAGCAACACATGTTCAGAGTACAGAAAGACAACCCACAGCACTAAAGTCTGATAAAGCTTTTGTCTGTTACATGTATTTTCTGGGTGATTTACAGCTCGCTATTTCTTATTCTAATAGTGATGCAAAAAGCACATGCAACTTTCAAACCAATAGATTATTCTTCCTCTGTATTCCTCCAACCTTGATATGATTCTTTGTTGACTTCAGTATTAATATACTATATATATAGATATGTTATATGTATGCTACATTAAAATAATTTAGAGTGTCAGTATAAAACACTTAATTTAAAAGTGCTGTAAATATAAACATTAAGATCCCGACTGGGCCATAATTACACATTTCCTGGACATTTAACATTTTCACATTTTCACTGGAATTTAAAGTTTCAGCTTAAGTAAATGTTACGAGTGACCTGCTGTGCTCCTGTGTGGCTTTTCACCAGTGGTTTGCTTTGGGGTTTGTTTTTGTATATATCTTTTTGAAATTCCACTTCTCTTCTCTAGGAGCTTGGTGTTGGTGGCACAAGTCAGTGGAAAATCTGTGGCCTAGATCCCACGTCTACTCTTGGCATCTACTTTGAAGTTGTCAATCAGGTGGGCGTCCATTTTTTTTTCACGTTATAATATCTTCTGATTTATTAGAAGGTACTCTCTCTCCATCCTGATAATACTTTGGTATCATATTAGACATTATGCTAATCTGGTGTGCTCTTTTTAATTCCCTCCAGCATTTAGTGAGAATCAAACAACAAATTACTTTGTCCCTTTACTGTCGAGCTGACAAGGCCTTCAGATGAGTACTGGCTTTTCCCAGCCATCTTAATAATACTCATGAATTTTTGAGGGTGTCAGTCTTTCCCCAATATTTTGTTATGAAAAATTACAAAGACTTGTACATGCAACACCTGCAAAAACACTAGCTAGATTCTGTAATCAGCTTTTTACTACAGTTGCATTGTTAAAGTTAAATATCTGTTGCTCTGTTTTATTTTTGATGCTTTTATGGGTAGAGGGGAGATGAGACAAGGTGTCTTTGAGACCTGGGTGGCCTTGGACCTCTGATCCTTCTGCTTCCATGTTCAAAATGCTGGGAGTACAGGTGTGTGTCACCACACCTGGCTTGTTTTTGATGTAATTCAGAGCAACTTGAAGTCATCAGTGGTTTTTACCTCTAAATAGTTTGGCACCAATATCATTAATTGGATCCATTTTTATTCCTTCTGTTCCTGAAGATGAGCCCAGGGCCTCTTGAGTTGTATGCACATGAGCCACACACCCAGCCCCAATTCATATGAATGTACTAATGTTCCTCCTCCTCCTCACTTCTGCCTTTTAGGTAAGAGTTAATGTACAATGATCCCATGCAGGTTTTAAGTGTACCATTGAAATGTACCAAGAACCCTACCTGAGTGCTTTAGAAGGGCTGTGTTTAAGTCATGTCTTTGACAGTAACCAGATGTGGTCTCCCACCCCACAGCACAATGCTCCAATTCCCCAGGGAGGCAGAGGTGCCATCCAGTTCGTCACACAGTATCAGCATTCCAGCACTCAGAAGCGCATTCGAGTGACCACCATTGCCCGCAAGTGAGCATCTTGTTTCCTTCTTCTTGAGCCAAGGCTGTGAGAGTTAACTTCTTTGAGTTTGTCTTTCTGATTCCCTTAGATGGCTCTCCCAGCTCCTCACTGACTCATTGATCAGCCACGGATCAGCCATTCTTGGCTAACCCAATTGAACTTTTACACACTTACCTAGAAGAATCAGCTTTCAGTAGAAATTTAGTTTATTAAAAATTATCTTTCATATTTTATTTGCTAGATAAGTAAGTCATGCTTCCTGTTAAAGATGTAAACAGAACATAAGTGCTGTTGGCCCTCTGTATCCCTCAGTTTCACATTCATAAATTTAGCCAAATTGGAATGGAAAATATTTTTTAACCTTACATCTGTATTGAACATGTATGGACTTTTAAAAAAATTATTATTGCATAAGCATTACAGTTTAACAGCTGTTTTGTATAGTATTTACATTGTCAGTGATAACATAGAGATGAGTGAGTGTATGTAGGAGAATGTATTTAGATGTTACAAATACCATGACATTTTATTTACAGTTACTTATTTATTTATTGAGATAGGATCTCACTATGTAGCCCTAGCTGACCTAAAGTTACTGTGTAGACCACACTGGCCTTGAAATCACATAGATCTGCTGTCTCTGCCTCCTGAGTGCTGGGATTACAGACATGTACCACAATGCTCAGGTGTACTATGCCATTTTATATCAGTGGCTTGAGCATCCACAAATTTTGATATCTGAGGAAGTGTGTCCTGGAATGAGTCCCCAGTGGATACTGAGAAATAACTATTTACTTATGAGTATCTTTACTTTCCCTTCCCAGAGTTAAGTCTATGTAAATTTAACTGCACACCCCATTTCTGTGCTCCTGTATACCATATATGTATGGCAGCTTATTTCTCATGTCTATGTACTTACATCTCTGTGTGTGTTTATCTCTGGTTTGCATCTCGTTTATATTAATGCTCACACACTATTGCGTAGGTTGCAAGCGATGCTGCCTTTGTTAAAGGGACTTCATGTGCTTCTCCAGCAGTGCTGCTTTTGTATTTGATTTTTAGGGATTCACATATTCTAGTATTTTTTCTTCTCCTTTTTTAAATATTTTTGGTGATATTATTCTCCACATGACTGGGGATTGAACCTAGGTCCTCTCTCTCATACTCTTTCACTTTACCATTGAGCTACAGCCTCAGCCCCAAGTATATTGCTTGTCGGCCCTTTCATAGGTTGAAATTTTATATATTGCAAACCTACTATCCTCAGAGGCTGATATGTTTTCCTTGGTATGGTCAGGAGAGTACCCACTACCTCATTAGTAGTGGATATTAATATTTAAATGCAAACAATAATACCTCATTTTCGTTTGTATTCCCCATTCATCAATGAGCCGAGTACTTCATGCTGTTTCTTCTGAAAAACTCTTAAACATGCTCTTATTTCATTTTTCCAAGGAGATGACAATGAGAAGTCATTTTGTAAAGTTGTAAACGCTTAGATTTTTGTAAGGATTGGCCTAGAGGAAGGGGCATTGGATTCAGACTTAGCTTTTGGGTGTCTACTGTTGTGTCTGCTGGATTATGGGGAAGTTTTTCTTTTGTGCTTCTAGCCTTCAGACAGCACCTGAGGGTGACCAAAATGATTGTCAAACTTCCTTATGAATATGTAGTGCCACCTTGTCTTCGACAAAGGAACGGGATCTGGGCTCACCTGAGCAGAGGTCTAGCCTCTGGTAGCTCCTGATCAGAAGTGCAGCACTAACTCTGGATTGTCAGTTGGGCAGATGCACAGAGTCAGCTGAGGCACATAGAAGCAGCATTTGACCAGGAGGCTGCAGCAGTCTTGATGGCGCGGCTTGGAGTGTTCCGGGCAGAGTCCGAGGAGGGACCTGATGTGCTCCGCTGGCTGGATCGACAACTCATCCGACTGGTAAACTGGGAACAATGGCATTGAGTTTAGTCCTTGTGTCTCTTCTACCTTTGAGAAAAGAAAATTCCCACTTAAGCCTGTTATTTTTTAATTTTTAAAACCACTTATTTATTTATTTATTTGTGTGTGTGTGTGTGTGTGTGTGTGTGTGTGTGTGTGTGTGTGTGTGTGTGTGTGTGTGTATGCCATGGTGTACAAGTGGAGGTCAGAGGATGATCTGTGGAAATTGGTTTTCATCTTCCACCATATGGATTCCAGGGATCAGAACTCAGTTTGTCAGATTTGGTGGCAAGTACCTGTCCCTGCTGAGCCATTGTACTGGCTTCAGGAGATAGTTTTAAGGAGTTTGGAAAGCCATGAGGCTAATACTGCTAGGAAGCTAAAGAAGATGAGAACTAGGAAAGGTCATCAGCTTTGACAGGAGAAATCTAATTGTTAGGAATAGGGCTTTCTGAACACCCCAGGGCCTAGTCTCTAGTGTCTGGAGGGAATGTTTGATCAGAAATAAAGGCAAGGCTGGACATGGTGATGCATAACTATAATCTCAGCACTTGGAAGGCAGAATCACCTTGTCTTTAGGCTAATATGACCCTGTCTCAAAAAGCATAAATAACTAGCTAACTGACTAACTAACTAATTAGCTAAATATATAAATAAAGCAGGAATACATTCGGATTCAGAAACCTACCATTGAAAGGAAGAAGAAAATTGAGTTGTAATAGCAGAGAACAGCAAGGTTGATCTGTAATTGCTAGTTTTCATGGTCTCTCAGGGTTTTCATATGGAGAGGTGCCTCCGAGAGCTTGCTGAACACATGTGTGATTAGGGTGGTCCTCAGGCCACCATTGCCTCCCGTTGGTTGGAGATTTAGAATCTCCCACTCTTCCCCTAGAGTGACTCCCTCCTACCTACTTTGAATCCTGGGGATGAATCCGGGGCTTTGAGCATGCTAAGTAAGTGTTCTACCACTGAACTCTCTCTCTAGTCATCAGGGTCTGTGTTTTAACAAGACCTGGTGATTTGTCTGCCCTTCATGCCTGAGAGATGCTGGTCTAGAATTTATGAGAAGTAGCACACTGCGTAGCTCTTTGGTCTGGGACTTTTCTAGGTGACACTAACTTAGACTCTTTTTTTTAAAATTTTCTTCCCTATTTTCTTTCAACAGTGTCAGAAGTTTGGGCAGTATAACAAAGAAGACCCCACGTCTTTCAGATTGTCAGACTCTTTTTCTCTGTATCCTCAGGTAAGAAATATGGTTTTAAAGTTAACTATAGAAGAATGAATTGTTAGAACTGAACTTTTCTGTGCTTGAGAGCAAAGGAAGACTTGTAATTTGAGACTAACTAATAGCAGGCTATCCCACCTCTTTTGAACCACAGTTGAAGCCAGCCAAGTGTACAGCACTTGCATTGTGCTTTGTACTTGTAAGCAGCCAATAGCTGGGGTGCTGGGACTTTCAGGTGCCTGTGTCTGAGCAGGTGAGGATGGGTAGTGGTGTGAAAGAACCCTGGCCAGTCGGGGTGATGGCCAGCACTGGCCCTGTTGCTGCTCCTGGATGAGACCTCTGTGAGTCCTTGCTTCCTCCTCTTTAGAAAGAAGGAGTTGGTCTGAAGCAGTGATTTGAAGTCTCTCTAAAGCTGTAAAATCCTTACCAGCAGAGGACTCTCCTTCAAAAGCCTGTGTGAAAAGCAGACAGATCTGAAGCTTCTCTGGTTGTACCTAACACCTGGATCCACTGGATACCATCAGAGCCTCCACCCTCTAGGGTCCCTGATCTGGAGAGGCCCTACACTCTCCAGTGACTTACTCAAGAGAACGAATATCTGTTCCCAAGGAAAATAAGCCCAGCGGGGCAAAGCACATTTGAGGTTTTGAGGGTTGAGCACAGTGTAAGAGAGTCCTCCTACCTTAGAATGCTCTGTAGATGAAATCATAAAAGCCTTCTTAGCTGGTGTTTCCATACTGTGCTCCTTCATGTGGGAGTTCTTTAAAAACAAACAAAATAATTTTAGCTGGGGGCTGGGCAAATGGCTTAGACTAAGAATGGTTGCTGCCTTTAGGGGACCTAAGTTGGGTTCCCAGTACCTACATCAGGTGGCTCACAACTGCTTGTGGCTCCAACTCCAAAGACCCAACACCCTCTGTGGCGTTCTTGGGCACCCACATGTGACATACAAACACACAGGCACACATATGTAAAATAAAAATAAAGTAAATTTTAGAAATCTGTCTGGAAGGGTTAGAGAGGTGGCTCAGTTGTTAAAGAGTGCATACTATTCTTTTCAGAGGGCCTGAGTTCAGTTCTCAGCACCCATGTCAGGTGACTCACAATTACAGATAACTCCATCTCCAGGAGATCTGACACTTTTGGACTCTGGACACCTACACTCACATACACATGTCTCCGCCCCATAATTAAAAGTAAAATAAATCTTTAAGGGGTCAAAGAGATGGCTGAGCAGTTAAGACCACTGATTGCTCTTCTAGAGGATACAGGTTCAATTCCCAGCACCTATATGGCAACTAAGAACCGTCTATAACTCCAGTTCCAGGGGATCTGTCTTCTTGCCTCCTTGGGGACTGCATGCACATAGTGCATGGACATAAATGAAAGCAAACACCCATACATGTAAAATAAAACAAAATAAAATAACAAACAATCGAACAAATACTAAAAAAGGGCCAAGTCATTAGAAAAACAGCTCTTTCCTGGGCATAATTCCATACACCTATAATCCTAACACTTGGGAAGTGGAGGCAGGAAGATTAGGAGTTCAAGGTTAGCCCAGGCTACATGATCCTTGTCTTTAAAAAACAAAACTAAAAACCAAAAATACCCAAAAGTGACACTTAAAGCAGCAATTGTAAGACATTTTTAAAATTGTGGTTAAAAAAAAAAAAGACAAAATTTATCATCTTGGGGCCTAAGGAGATCCCTAGTCCCCATGTAAAAGCTGGGTAAGTGTGGTGGCTAATTATAATCCCAGTGCTCAGGAGTCAGAGATGGGATCTCCAGGGCACGCTGGCTAACTAGGGTAGCCTATCGGCAAGCTCTGGGTTCAAATCCGAGAAACTGCCTCAATAAGTAGAAATACACCACATGTTTTTGCCTAAAAACTTCCCTTTTTTTTTTCTGATTTTTTGAGATATGGTTTCTCCGTCCTGGAACTCACTCTGTAGACCACGTTGCCCTTGAACTCAGAGATCCGCCTGCCTCTGCTTCCCAAGTGCTAGAATTAAAGGTGTGAGCCGGGGGCTGGAGAGATGGCTCAGAGGTTAAGAGCACTGACTGCTCTTCCAGAGGTCCTGAGTTCAATTCCCAGCACCCACATGGTGGCTCACAACCATCTGTAATGAGATCTGGCACCCTCTCCTGTATACATAATAAATAAATAAGTCTTTAAAGATGTGAGCCACCACCACCACCCAGCAAAAAAAGTTACCATTTTTTAAAAAAGATTTAATTTGTATGTGGAGGGATATGTGTGGTTATGCACACAAGAGTGCAGTGCCTTCAGGGAGGGCAGTGGATCCCCAGGGTAGTTGTGAGCCACCTGACTTGGATGCTGAACTGGGAGCTGAACTCAGATCCTCTGCAGGAGCAGCAACTCTCCAGCCTCAAGTTTATCATCTTATCCCTTTTGAAATATATAATTGTGTGCTATTACATCCATTTACATTCTTTTTTATGATTTATTGATTTTTATTTTGGTGCATTGGTGTTTTACCTGCATATATGTCTGGTCCCCTGCAACTAGAGTTACAGACGGTTGTGAGCTGCCATATGGGTGCTGAGAATGGAACCCTGGTCCCCTGGAAGAGTAGCCAGTGCTCTTAACTGCTGAGCCATCTCTTCAGTCCCCACATTCACATTCTTGTGTACCAGAGTGCTGTAATTTTCTTTTTTTTAATCTTTACTGAGCCAGATGTGGTGACACATGCTTGTAATTTCAGCACTTGGAGGGTTGAGGCAGGACCATCTCAGGTTTGAGGCCAGACACATAATATCATTATGTCATAAAGCAAGCAAACCCACTTGGAATTGTATACCCAGTAAAGGTACTCCCCATTTCCCTCTTCCACCAGCTCTGCCACCGCCCTTTGGTGTCTCTGTGAACCCACAGATAATTATCTCAGAGTCCAGGTTTCATGTTTTCGAGATCCAGAGTAGATGGCTCTGCATGTCCAGCATCACAGATGGATTCTTTTGTCTTTCTTTTGTGAATGCAGTTCATGTTTCATCTGAGAAGATCTCCATTTCTTCAAGTGTTTAACAACAGTCCTGATGAGTCCTCCTATTATAGACACCATTTTGCCAGGCAGGATCTGACTCAGTCCCTCATCATGATCCAGCCCATTCTCTACTCTTACTCCTTCCATGGACCACCAGAGGTAAGGCTGGATGGACATGCTTTTCTGAGAGTGGATGACTTAATCACAAGGGGTTTTGTTTTCCTTTACCAAATATAGTCTTAGAGCAGAACTGTAAAATCTTGAGTTTATTGTAACTTTATATTGTTTCTAAGTATTAAAAAACAGGAAAAGTCAGAAGATATACTAAAGCTGTTTTTGGTGTGGAAAGCAGAAATAAACTGAGGAAAAAAAAACCCACAATGTTATGAGTTCACATTCTTTGCCCAGTAATTCCAGCCCTTGTAAAGTATCTAAAAGAAATAAGAGTATGAAAATAGAAAAGGTTTTATGCAAAGAAACAAGAAAATGAACAACTATAAGAGAATTTGGGGCGGGTAGAGAGCTTGCCTTGAATGCATGAGGACCTGGTTCTGGCACTGAAAAAAAAAGAGGAACCAGAGGGCAATCCAAGTACTCAGTAGAAGAAAAATAGTTAAGTATTCTAAGAAATAGTCACATAATTTATATAACATAGTAAAATGTAAAAATGTTACATGGTAAGAAAAGAAAAAATTCAGTAGAAATTATTTAGTATAGTAAAGAATGCCTATTGAAAACAGGCTGGAAAATGCCATAGCCTTAAAACCTAACTGTGCAATATGTGAGCAAAAGCAAAACCATCCTGAGACAGTGCAGGAGTGGAGACAAATAATGTAAAGGAAGAAGTGAAAAGATGCTTGTGGAGCGAATCACTGGCACACAGTGGCAGATTGCCCTGGCTCTAGCAGGCTCCACTTGGTGCTGTTGGTGAGGCGAGTGGAACCAAAGCAGAAACGCCTTGAAAACTTTATGGAGTGGAATGTTGCCCAACTTGCAAATAAAACTAAGAAAGATTTTAAACTAAAAAGGAATAACAACAAAATAGATTCTAAGTTTACATGTACTAAAAGCCTATAAAAATAAAGAACAATATTGAAGTAAACCAAGATAATCAGTATTTCTTGTTTTCAACTATAGATTTTCTGAAACGTGTACAAGTATTGTTATTATTGAAATAAAAATTTGTAATGAAATATATTTTGTGGTAAACTTTGAAAACTTGCATTAAACATTAAATTCTTTCATAAGGCACTCTCTTTTTTTAAGATTTATTTTATTTATTATGTATGCAGTGTTGTTTTCTTTTTTTAACGTATACAGTATTCTGCCTGTATGTATCCCTGCAGGCCAGAAGAGGGCATCAGATCTCATTAGAGATGATTGTGAGCCACCATGTGGTTGCTGGGAATTAAACTCAAGACCTCTGGAAGAGTAGCCAGTGCTCTTAACCTCTGAGCCATCTCTCCAGCCCTGTACAAGCATTCATTTCATTCTAGCTGTAGCTGCAGTAGTTGAGAAAAGATCAGCTGACTAAGAGTAGTTCTGGCCGGGCGGTGGTCCCAGCTCTCGGGAGGCAGAGGTAGGCGGATCTCTGTGAGTTCGAGGCCAGCCTGGTCTACAGAGTGAGTTCCAGGACAGTCAGGGCTACACAGAAAAACCCTGTCTCGAAAAAACAAACAAACAAACAGACAGACAGACAAACAAAGAACAGAAGAGAGGAAGCTCTTGTTATGTTCTGGCTTCTGGACCACAAGCTAGCCTCAGTGTCTGTCCCCGGTTGATGGAGGAGTGTCAGTGGCCTGTGTCGTCTACAAAACTGAGATTTAGAGCTGTCAGTTTGGGGAGTGGAACGTAGCAATGTGTGAAGAGGGGCAGCCCTGTGCTGGAACCATTTGTAAATAGCTTCTTAGCTCTTTTGTGGATACACATGTGGGGCTGGAGTGGCTGTTGTGTAGAGTGGGAGGACCAACGCCATCTGTCCTCTTCCGTAGCCTGTACTCCTGGACAGCAGCAGCATTCTAGCTGACCGAATTCTGCTGATGGATACTTTCTTCCAAATTGTCATTTATCTTGGTGAGGTAAGATGATATCATCAGTTTCTCTCTTGACTCTTGTTTTGTTTTGTTTTCCTGTTATTTACTTTGATGTATTGTGCATGTGTGTGAACCTATGGTCAGAGGACAGAGGGGGAGTTATTTCTCTTTCCAACATCACAGACTTCTTCACTGGCAGCCTGTTTCGGATGGTGCTAGTGGAAGAATGTCACAAGTGTTGGTGAAGGCTGCTGTCAGCACTTCAACAGCAGTTTTGGTTGCTTTGTTTTGGTGTAGACCATAGCCCAGTGGCGGAAAGCTGGATACCAGGACATGCCTGAGTATGAAAACTTCAAGCACCTTCTGCAGGCACCACTGGATGATGCGCAGGAGATCCTGCAAGCACGCTTCCCAATGCCGCGTTATATCAACACAGAGCACGGTGGCAGTCAGGTGGGTGGGCCCCATTCTAGCTCTAATAGTTTTTTTTTTATTGTGTGATGATTTATTTTATGGATATTAATGGTTATAATTTTATGTGGTGGCATAAATTTACATACAGATATTCTTTCAGCTATGATTTTTGTTTAGATTTAGTTGTTTATTTTACTTCCAGGCTGGCCTGAGACTTACTGTGTAGTGCAGGTTGGTCTCAAACTCATGATCCTCATACATCAGTTTCCTATGTGTCTTGGTGAGTGCTCTATTGCTGTGAAGAGACACCATGACCATGGCAATTCTTATAAAGGAAAAAAATTTAATTGGGTGGCTTACAGTTCAGAGGTTTAGTCTATCATCATTATGGTGGTACATGGTGGCATGCAGGCAGGCATGGTGCTGGAGAAGGAGCTGAGAGTGGAGATGGAGCTACATATTGATCCTCAGGCAACAGGAAGTGAACTCAACTAGGCATAGCTTGAGCATAGGTGACCTCAAAGCCTGCCCCTCCAGTGATACACTTCCTCCAACAAGGCCACACTTACTTCAACAAAGCCACACCTCCTAATAGTGCCACTCCCTATGAGCTTATGGGGACCAATTACATTCAAACTACCACACGTGTGCCTCACTATGCCTAGTGGTGACTTCTTATTAGATGAATGTACTAATATGAAAGTATAAGATTATCAGTATGTCTGGATCATTTGTAGATGGGGAGCCAGTGGATTTAAGATAAAAGCAATAGATTTCTAAACAGCAGAGAGAGAGAGAGAGAGAGAGAGAGAGAGATAAAAGAAATCAATTTAAACAAATAATATAAAATCTTTACTTTTTTGTACACTGATACTACTTTTAATTTTTAAAATCTTTTTATTTTTAAAGGCTCGATTCCTGTTGTCTAAAGTTAACCCATCTCAGACACACAATAACTTGTATGCTTGGGGACAGGTAAGAATTGCTGGGTTTCTGGGGAGAAGGTCAAATTGCTTTCATTTAAAGCTTGTTTGAGCCTATAAATTGAACCTGTTTTGGTTCAGACAGAATGACTGTTGGGGTGTTGGCTGCAAGTAACACAGTTATATTATGGGTGTGAGTAGGGTACTACCTGTGTGAGTCTCCTGCACACAGCTTACTGTGTGTTCCAGGGGCAGCATGCATCACTGTGGCCTCTGTGTACAAGTACACATAGCTTACTGTGTGTTCCAGGGGCAGCATGCTCCACTGTGGCCTCTGTGCATCTCTCCTCATGCACGTGGAGGATGGTATTAAGTCCTATCTCTTGCCTACAGGGCATCTCCTGCTCCCTATTGATCTATTGTCTCTTCACTTTCGGCCTTACTTCTTTGCCTAATTATTCTCTAAATTTGTTTCTCTTTCAATGATTCTTAAAATTTTTAGATTATACTTGGTTTTTGAGATAACTGTAAGTTTATCTGCAGTTATAAGAAATAATACAAAAAGTTGAGCATGTGGCACATGTCTTCAATTTCAGTATCCAGCAGACAGAAGCAGGTGGATTTCTGAGTTCCAGGATAGCCAGGGCTAGTAATGTCCTGTCTCATGAAAATCAAATCATAATAAACACCAAGAGATCTCCTGTAACTAATTTTTAAATTAATGGTTACATTCTGAAAAATAATAATTCAATATAGTACCCAGGATATTGTCAATGACACAGAAATTTCCATCACAATGATGATCTCTCATATTGCCTTTCATAACCATTACCACCCTCCCCCATCCTTAGCATTTGGCACTTACTAATCTGCTCAGCGTTTCTATATTCCTTATTCAGACTATTAGGTAGGGCTAGAAATATAGGCCAGTGGGCCAGTGGTAGAGCACTTGCCTAGTATGCATAAGTTCCTGGGTTCTATCTTAGCAACACACACACACACACACACACACATACACACACACACACACATACACACACACACACACACAAACACATATACACACATACACAAACACATACATACACACAAACACATACACACACACACACTAAAAAAAACACTATACGGTCATACAAGCTGTTAGGTTGTTTTTTTTTTTCACTCAAGTGTAATTATCTATAGATTACTCCATGCCATTATGTGTGTTAATAATCCATTCCTTTTAATTTGCAGAGTAATAATCCACAGTATAAATACACATATCATACTTTGTTTGGTTATGCATCTATTTAAGGACATCTAAGGTGTTTGTAGTTTTGAGCTCTTAGGAATAAAATTGCTACAAACAAACAATTAAATACAGGTTTCATTTGAACAGGACTTCATTTCTCTGAGATAGAGGCACAGAGTATATTTGATAGATTCTGTGATAGTTGTGTGCTTAGTGTTTTAAAGAAACTGCCACACTTTTGGAGAGCAGCTACACCTCTTCACATCCCTACTAGCAGTGGGATGCAGTGATGTAGTTTGGTGGCCAGTATTTGGTGTTGTCATTTCTTGTATTTTGGCTATTCATGTAGCTGTCTAGTGCTCTGTCGTTTTGGGTATTTTCTTTTCAGTGCCAGAGGTTGAACCAGGGCCTCTGTAATACGTCAGCACTGTGCCACTGAGCTGCATCTCCAGCTCTTGGCTATTTGAGACAAAGGCCTCACACTGTGATTTTCTTACCTCAGCCTTTACTATGCTGGCATTCTAGGTGTGTGCCCTAACTCAGCTATCACTGGCTTTAATTTATATTTTCCTAATGACTGATGATGTTGAACATCTTTTCTTGTTCAACACAAGTGGCTCATGTGCCATCTGTTTATCTTCTGTGAAGTGTGTCTGTATCATTTGTGGTCTAATCAGATCATTTGCTTTCCTACTGTTGTTGAGACCAAGGGTTCCACTGCATAGCCCTGGCTGTCTTGGAACCCACTCTGTAGACCAGGCTGGCCTGGAATTCACAGAGATCTATCTGCCTCTGCCTCCCAAGTGCTGGGATTAAAAGTGTGCACCACCACCATCCAGCTGAGACTGAGGGTTCTTTACGTGTCCTAGATGCTCCTCCTTTTTCAGGTGTGTCACTTGTAAGTACTTTTATTTGTAACTTAGCTGTTCATTCTCTTTACAAGGCAGAAGTTTTAAATGTTTACATAGTTTACTTATCCGTTTTCCCTGCTGTGGATTGTGCTTTTGGTGTAAGATTTAAGCTTAAGATCTAGTCTTAGATCCTGTCTAGTTACTTGTGTATTTCTGTCACAAAACACAATGATCAAAGCAACTTATAAAAGAAAGCATTTGCTGGCCAGTATTGGTGCATGCCTTTAATCCCAGCACTTGGGAGGCAAAGGCAGGCGGATCTCTGTGAGTTCAAGGCCAGCTTGGATGGTGGAACAAAGGCATGGTGGCAGCAATAGGCGAGAGCTCACATCTTGTTCTGCAAATAGGAAGCATAGAGATAACTGAGTGGTAGTCGTCTTTCGAAACCTCAAACCCAGTTACATACCTTCTCCAACAAGACCACACTTCCTGATCCTCCCCAAACAGCCAGCAACTGCAGACTAAGAATTCAGATATGGCCAGGCGGTGGTGGCGCACGCCTTTAATCCCAGCACTGGGGAGACAGAGGCAGGCGGATCTCTGTGAGTTCGAGGCCAGCCTGGTCTCCAAAGTGAGTTCCAGGAAAGGTGCAAAGCTACACAGAGAAACCCTGTCTCGAAAAACAAAAACAAAAAAACAAAGAATTCAGATATGTGCCTTTGGGGGCCATTCTCATTCAAATGGCCACAGATCCCAAAGATTTTCTTGTTTTCCTGTCTTTCCCCCCTATAGTCTTTTAAAAATAGTTTTATGCGGCCGAGCGTGGTGGCGCATGCCTTTAATCCCAGCACTTGGGAGGCAGAGCCAGGCGGATCTCTGTGAGTTCGAGGCCAGACTGGGCTACCAAGTGAGTTCCAGGAAAGGCGCAAAGCTACACAGACCCTGTCTCCAAAAAAAAAAAAAAAAAAAAAAAAAATAGTTTTATGTTGCATTTTAGGCAATAATTCATTTTGATTTATTTATTATTTTTATTATTATTTTGAGACAGGAGTCTCTCTTCATATCCCTGGCTTTCCTGGAACTCACTATGTAGACTAGGCTGATCTTGAACTCACAGAAATCCACCTATCTCTACCTTCCAAGTGCTGGGAGTAAAGGCGTGAGTCACCATGGCCAGCTTTGAGGAATTTTTTTTTTTAATGTGAAGGTAGCTGGTGATTTCTTCTCCACATGGATATCTAATGGCTTTGGTATCATTTATGGGAAAGGCTGTTTCTAGGATTGCTTTTGTATCTTTGTCAAAGATCACAGTAGGATGTAGGAGTGAGTCCATTTCTTGGTTTTCTGTTGTTTTACTGATCTGTGCTTATATCCCAATACCAATACTAGAGCTTTAAAACCACAGACTATATATATTCTTTGCACTTTCTTCTTTTGAAAAAAAAAAGTAAAACAAAAAAGCCCCTCTTATTATAGTTCTTTTGCTTTTCTTTATGAATTTTAGAATAATCCTGTTTATGTCTTTAAACATACTAGTAGAGGTTTTGTAAGGATTTCATTAAGCCCATTTGAAGATAATTTGACTGTGAACTTGGTTTGACTCTCCTTGTACTAAATCTCTTGATTCCTTTTTTTCAATATATATGTGAATGGATATAAAATGGAAATATACATGTATTTCCATTTTAAAAGGTGGTTGTGAGTGGTGTCTCACATTTTTTTTTACTTACTTTGTTTTGTTTTGAAGCAAAACCCTGGTAGTTGTACAGCTGACCTTGGACTCAATCTTCCTGCCTTGGCCTCCTGGGTCCTGAGATTACTGGTGTTCTCTATTCCTTGCAATGTTTTATTTTTAATTTTAATGTCTGATTTCATTGCTAATACATAGAAAAACAAGCATGGTGTATGCTCATCTAGTATTCTGTGAACTGTCAGTGGTTTCTTGAGATTGTCTTCTGAAACAGGCATATTATCTGCAAGCAGGGACGGTTTTATTTCTCTTTCAGTTGGAATGACTTGTTTCCTTAGGAACTCTTGCAGTGAGAACTGCTAATACCAGGGCATTCTTCCCGAGACCGCAAGCTTATGGGACAAGCATTCTGCCTTTCACCACTGAGTACAGTGATAGCTGTAGGCTTTTCTAGATCTCTTTATCAAATTCTGGAAGGCCTCTCTATTGGTATTTTTCTGAGATTCTTTGTCATAAGTGAGTGTTGAATATTGAAGTATTTTTAAATGTATTCTTTGGTATAATCATGATTTTTCCTTTTTAAGCCTTTTACTAAGGCAGATTATATTGATATTTTTTAATATTAAGCCAATCTTCTCTCTCTCTTTCTGTTTCTTTTTTTTCTTCTGTGTAGCCCTGGCTATCCTGAAACTTGCTCTATAGAACAGGCCAGCTTCAAACTCAGAGATCTGCCTACCTCTGCCTCCCAAATGTTGGAATTAAAGGCATAAGCTGTCATTGCCCGGCTTTTTTTTCCTTTTTTTGAGACAGGGTCTCACTGTGTAGTTCTGTCTGTCTTAGAGCTGTCTTTATAGATCAGGCTGGTCTTGAACTCACAGAGATTTGCCTCCCTCTGCCTCCTGAGTGCTGGGATTAAAGTCATGTGCCATCATGCCTGTCTTGGGGATTAATTCCTGAGAAATTTGCTGGAATTTTCCAGTGAAACCATCAGAGCATAGAGATTTCTTTTACATTACTAATTTCACTTTCTATAGTTGTTACAGGGGTATTCAAATTATCTTTTCCATATTGAGTAATTTGGCAGTTGTATGCTTTCAGGAATTGTTTTTGTTGAGCTATCAAACGCATACACACACAGACATACACACACACACTCTTATAATTCCTTAGATGTCTGTAGATCCTTTAGCTTCATTCTTTATGTTAGTAAGTTTTATCTTCTTCCCTGTCTTGCTAGAAGTTTGGAAGTTTACTTATCTTCAAAAGTACTGTTGATCCCACCAGTTGAGGATAAGACCACTACCATAATTTAAAGCCAAAATTGAAGCAAGCTTTAATTAAATACTGACTAGGTTGATGGGCTCTGGCCAGGTCCATCTCTGGGTTTCCAGGAAATGGTCCAGAATCAAGAATAGGAAGGATTTAGGAAGGAAAACCCATAATTCATTGCATTTCTCATCAGGTCCAATCGGGCAAGCATATATCCTGACATGCCTCCAGCCTACCATCCAGTCAGGGGCAAGCATACATCCTGATGTATTTCCTGCCCATGAACCTCCTGCCCACATGTGACCAAGCACATCTGGTGCAGATGGCTCAAACAAGCTTGTTTAGGGAGTGAAAACATGTGGCTTGTTATCTCCCATAAACAGTAGCCTCCAGCATTTCAGGCTTGGGCAGGAGGCTTGCAGATCAGAAACATTTTTGTCTCATGGATCTCTTAGGCATAGTAATTAAAACTTAAAAGGTAACTTTGGCTCTCACAGTACCAGTGCTTAATTTCACTGACTTTTTTAGTTATCTCTTTATTTTCAGCCCAACTGACTTCTGTTGTGTTTGTTGTTACCTCCTTCTGTTTGCTTTAGATTTCTTTTACTCTGATGATAGAGCTTAGATTGTTGGGGCGTGGGCCTGAAGAGATGGCTCAGTGGTGAAGAGCACTGACTGCTCTTCAGGAGAATCCCACTTTGGTTCCCAGCGCCCATATGGTGGGACCAACCATCCTTAACTCCAATCCTATGTGATCCAGTGTCCTCTTCTGGCCACCAAGGGCACTGCATGTGCATGGCACAGACATGCATGCAGGTAAAACACCTATACATGGAAATAAGTAAGAAATGAAAATAAATGAATGAAAACTTGTCAGTGTGAGGCTGTCCCCCTTCTCATTAGTGTTGTTTGCTGTCAGCACTGCCACAGCTGTGGCTCTCAAGTTCAGTGCATGTTGATTGTCTCCAACTACGCAGCGTTTTCCTCGTTTTTTGTTACTGATTTCTCTGTAGATTCCATTTTGGTTGGGAACACACTTTGTATGATTTCAGTTCTCTTATACTTGTTGAAGTTTGTTTTGTGATCTGGGACATGATCTGTCTTGGTTTCCGTTCCATGGTCACTTGAAAAGAAAGACTGTTGTGCAGCTATTTGGTGGACTGTCCTATCAGTCAGTGTTAATTGGATCCTGTTACAGTTGGTGGCATTACTGAGTTCTCATACATCCTTACCAGTTCTCTGGGTTGTTCTACCGGTTTGTGAATGAATTTTCCAGCCCCAGCTCTGGCTTCTCTGTGACTCTTCTTCACTTCCATTAGTTGTTCCTCACATGCCTTGCACCTCTGTTTGATGTGTACTTAGTGTGTTGGCCCATTTATCCTAAGTTATGTCCTTCTGTGTCTCTAATAATTTTCTTTGCAATGACAGTAATAAAGGCATTGCTTAGGTAATGCAATGTGACTAGTTTGTGTCTGTGACTGTGGTGCTATAATATATTTGGAATTGTTGTACCTCTATCATCATAGCTTTTTGCTCAGGATTACTGAATTTTAGGGAAGAAAGAAATAAATTACCTATAACCACTCTTCCTAGCTACTTCCTAGGTAATGAAAACTAAATATTTCATGATGTACATATGTTGTTTCTTTAGAAATTTGAGATCTTGCTGCAAACTGCCCTTTCTACCCAGTCTTTTTCCCCAGAGCATTACTTAAATCGTGTTTCTGATGTTACAGATAGCATCTGTTGGTGGTGTCACTCATTCACTTGCCTGTGACACCTTTCTGTTATAGCACAGTGCTTTAGAGATAGGTGTGGTGCTGGCAGTGGTGTGCCACAGAGGGGGTGGTGTACAGGCCTTGGAGGGCTCACAGCTGGTGGGAGCTCTGGATGGTTTGAGACGGGTCTGAAGGACTCTGGGAAGGGATGAAATAGGCAGCCATATACTCATATACTGTCGGCAGTGGGCAGGCATGGCCAGATCTCAGGAAGGGGTTTAGAGAAAAGTGTGCTTCTGGTGAATGGAATTAGCAAGACAGAGGACAGGGTGGTGAGGAACAAAGGTGGCACCCATGGATGTCCCCAGGCAGAAGGTACTGAGCAGCTGGGGATCCTAAGTGGCTGTTGAGGTCTTTGTCAGTAAGCCTTTGTGGTTGTCTTTCAGGAAACTGGAGCACCCATCCTGACGGATGATGTCAGCCTGCAGGTGTTCATGGATCACTTGAAGAAGCTGGCTGTGTCCAGTGCCTCTTAAACTGACAGTGCAGCCCGGCAGTGGAGGACAGCACTGTCAGATTCTGCTCACACTGTTGATATCACCTTAGCAACATTCCTTTCACCTTTCTGGAAGATTCTAATAAATAACCCAAGGAATTTTTTTATATGTATGTCTTCAGGTTATAATATGTCTTCAGGTTATAATTTATTTGTGTTCCTTCTCTGCCTGTTTTCCTACACATGAAATTGTATAAGGTCATACATGTTCTGCTAATTGTAGATGTTTACTTACTTTTTGTACCTTAATGTTTTAGAGTCTTTATAAAATCAGAGTTTATGTATTTTTGGCTGCTTAAGTGAGCCTTAATGATCATAAAGGAAATAAATCTGGATGAGAAGACCATTGGCCAAAATAATCATGCAGATTTTATCTGTGTGTGTGTGTGTGTGTGTGTGTGTGTGTGTGTGTGTGTGTGTGTGTGTGTATGTGTGTGAGGGGGGGGGGAGGATGTATGTATCTTGGGGGTGTTCCTCAAGGGCTATTTTCTGACTTTGATCTTCATTCATCATCTAAATGTTAAGGAACTATTGTATGAAATGTGTGAAGCAAGATCTTTGTCGGTGTGGTTTGCAGGGCACATCCCTGATTCACTGGTCACTGCCGTATCAACAGTCCAGCCCAGGTGGACCTCAAGAGATGGCTGATGGGCCTAAGACGCTTCAACGGAGTAATGCTACATTTGTCCTGACACCAAACAAACTACCTGGAATGAGTTCTGTTTTTAATAAAAAATTTTACACACACACACACACACACACACAAACACACATATATATATATATATATGCTTCTATGTATATGTGTGTGTCGCACACACAAATATGTCAAAACAAAATCTTTATCCTAAAGAGCTTATACTAAATAAATACCCTCCATTTCCTAAACCCAGGCCAGTTCTTCAGAAGTAACAGTGTGCCACCTTCTCTTCCATGTGTTTTGTTGGTGATGTATTTGGTTTTAGCCACTGTCTTTCAGTTCCTGCTTTTGTTCCATGAGGATGTTAAGAAATTCCTCCCTACCCTCCAGTTTTTGTTAGTTGTACTTTTACTTTTGTATTATCAAGACTTATATAATGTATGTTTTAACCTCTAGCCATAATTCTATTTTTCATGTGGAAGTTGATTGTAAAATCTAAAGAAAGCATTTGTCCAGTTGTGATGATGTAAATATCGTTCATGCTGGGGCCAGGTATTACTGTCTCACCCCTTGTTCCTACAGTGGTTTATCAGTCGTTTCTCAGGCCACTTGAAGGAAAACTTTCCAGATGATCAATGTCACTTTCATTTTTAACACTGATATGTGTGTGTAACAGAGGGAGGGGAGGGAGAGGAGGAGGGAGGGAGAAAGAGAAAGAGAGGAGAGAGAGAGAGAGAGAGAGAGAGAGAGAGAGAGAGAGAGAGAGAGAGAGAGAGCATGCATGCTCATGGAGATGAGGGAACATTGTATAGGAGGTGGTTCTCGTCTTCCACCTTGTGGGTCCCAGAAATAAAACTCCGGCCATCAGTCTTGGCAACAAGGCCTTTACATACTGAGCCATCTTGCCAGCCCCAAAGGGAAGAGGAAAGTGAGTCCTAAGTAGAGACTGAAAGAGAACCATGAAGTGGATGTTAGGCCAACCGGACTGATTGTAGCTTTCTGCCTTTTGAGTTCATACTTGTGCTCCTTTGTCTCTGTGTTTTAGAAGCATTTACTGTGTAACAGTTATATTTTAAATTAAAGAGTTTATATAATATTTCCTTTTCTAGAGGATATTTTTATGTAATTTTCAACTACATAAATGTAAAAGGAACCCTGGAAGATAAGAGGGAAAATGTTTTTGAAGCCACCAAAGAAGCATGCAGGGTCAATGGTGTCATTTACTTTAGAAGTCAAATTTGGGTAAGGCTGAAATAGTCAAAGCAGGTTACCCAGCCCGCTCCTGGTAAACACCTCAGGCCTGTTCTCGGATTATTCAGTCTACTGGCGTGCAGGCAAATTATGCCTGGAAGAAGTGTATGAATAAGAAAAGCAGTCGATGAAATCGAAGGCTTTTATTTTTTAAGATCTTTGTATGAAGGAAGATGAAAGCCAATAGGAGAAAAGCCGCAGTGGTGGGCGATAGAGTGCAATTGGGAAAGGACCAAGGGAGCCCCAAAGAACTGGACCTGGTACATCAGAAAAAAGCAAGTTGCAGACACAGTGTCTTCCAAAATGTGACAGCCGTTAAAGGAAATTGGAGTTGCCATTTCAAATACCGTCCGACATATGGAGAGCAGGGATTACAACTTTGCAAGTGAGGAAGTTCAAGTCGCCATCTGCTCCCCATCACATAGTGTATAAAGAGTAGTCCCCAGCTGGCAGCTGAACGCCTAAACTATGGTCCCCTAGATTAAAGCCTTCAGTTCTAGCTTGGATTAACTGTGGACTACGAGTCCCTAAATGCATCGCGGCGGAGCAGGAAGTAGCTAGGGGTGGCTACCTATTAGTGGCTGGTGCGACACACTGATTGGAAGGGCTTCCTCCGCGCAAACTCTGTGGCTCTCCCCTATGGCGCCATGCATCCTGAACAGGCTACGGTGTGGTACCGGCGGATGTCTGTGGTCTACGCAATGGGCGCCTGGTCAGTGCTGGGCTCGGCGATTTTTCTTACAAGGAACCAGAAAGCTTCAGGTAGGGTCCCCCGGCGAGATCGGCCTCGCAGCCGCCGCTTCCTGCTCATCGCCCTGGGAGTCACCGAAGCGACCTTCAGGGCTTGAACCCTGGGGTAATGCAAAACTGCTGCAAACGGGTACTTAGATAATTTGCGGCGATGGAATCTGCAAAGAGCAAGACTCTTCCAGGAACTATTAAGTATTGTCGCCTGGACCTTATATATTGATTGACTAACACTGTTCCCATGTTCACTTGGAACATGTGAATTCACCTTAAGTGCCTGGGGGATCCCAGGGGCTCGGACAGTGGCCCGAATGCTGCTCATTTCCTTGAGACCCTGTTGCATACGGCGAGCAAGCAGTTTAAGGCCTTAACAGCAACCGAGGAGTATTAAAATCATCCCAGTTATTGGGTGGAAAAGGAATTCCCTGAACCTTCAAATACGTGCTGGAAATCGAAGGAGCCCGAAAGTCAGTTGGTGTAATCGTTAGTGGCTGAAAATACTCTAAATCAGTTGTGGTGCTGGGTTGCCCAGACCGAACAGACTAAAAGCCACTGAATTGTGCTTTGTGAAAGGAATTTGTTTGATATGTTAGATATATCTCAATAAAGCCATTGTGTAAAAACTGGAAATTCTACTTGGTCAGGAAGATCGTTAGTGGTTTGAAAGTTCACACGGTCATCATGTATGCCGGTTTTTGTCTCTGCTTTTTCTTTTTGAAAGAAAGATAATGACAATAGACATCCGATATGCATAATCATACCATGCACTATGCCCAAGACTTTAATGACTGGTGTGTAAGTTAGTAATTGAGGCTCTTTTCTGTTTTTAAGGTGATGGAGCAGAGCCAAAGGATGATGGCTCAAGGAATGAATTGCCTGTGTCCGACCTAGAAAGGGACATAAATGAGCCTATTGAAGGGCTTTCTGTGAAAACATATGTAAAGTATTCAGAAAATTTTGTTCCAGTTACTCAAAGGATCATGGACTATCTGCGGTCATGGACCGGCGGGCCTGGACCAGAATCTTGATCGGCTACTGAATTCGGAAAACAAGGACTTGGCTCAGTACTTGATAGATGCCTTGATTTTTTTCCATTTCATGTTTGTGGAAAGAATGTATTTGTTTTGATTTTACAAAATATAATCACTAATGTGCAACAACTGAATTCTTGGGGGGAACTGAATAAATTCAAGAAGCAGCCTTCTATGTTTACATGGCTGAAAGGTTGATAAAAACCATTACATTTTTTTTTGTTGTTGTTCGAGACAGGGTTTCTCTGTGTAGCTTTGGTGCCTTTCCTGCAACTCACTCTGTACCCAAGCTGGTCTCGAACTCACAGAGATCCACCTGCCTCTGCCTCCTGTTGCTGGAAATAAAGGCGTGCGCCACTACCGCCCAGCTAACCATTAAATTTTTAAAATTATAGTTATTTGTGAATAATGTGTGTGTGTGTGTGTGTGTGTGTGTGTGTGTATGTATGTATGTATGTATGTGTATGCATGCTGTATGTGTGCATGGAGGTCAGAGGACAGTTTCCACTGTGGTTCCAGGGATCAAACTCAGGTCATCAGGCACCTGCTGAACCATCTCACTGGCCCTGAAATTTCAGTTTTGAAAAATTTACTTATGGGGTTGGAGAGATGGCTCAGCAGTTAAGAGTACTTGCTGCTCTTCCAGAGGACCAGGGTTTAGTTCTCAGTATCTACATCAGGCACCTCAGTCATCTGTGACTCCAGCTGTGGGGGATCTGATGCCTTTGGTCTCAGCGGGCACCTGCCCTCAAGTGCACATACCCGATTGCAGATGCACACACTTGTATGTAATTAAAAGTAATAAAAACAAATTTAAAAATTTGTGTGTGTACATGTTTGTACCTGAGGGCAGACACATGCCACAGCATGGGTGTGGAGGTCAGAGGACAACTGTAAATGCTGGTCCTGGTCCTAACCTTCCACCTTGTTTGAAATAGGATCTCTCTTTGTTGCTGTGCTGGGTACCCTAGGCTAACTGTACTGCAGGCTTTGGGGAGATTCTCTTGTCTCTGCTGTAGGAGTGCTGGGATTAGACACAAGCTGCTGAGTCAGACTTTTCACATGGGATCACAACATCAAACATGTTGATTTACTGAGTAATCTCTCTGGCCCTGATAATGAAAATTATATCAACTTCTATAAGCTAAGTTTTCCGAGAGTGGCTTATATAACGTATATTTTTCACGCTACTATCAGAAAATACTTTAGGTGTCCCACTAAGGTTAGACTGAGGAAAATCTCCATGTTCAGCTGGGGCATTCAAAGCAGCCCTCTACCAGGTACCAGTGGGTACTGGATAACTTACAAATTAGAATATAACTCCTAGATTAGATAGACTTGACCCGTTCTTTGGTACTTTTGCCTGCATAGGTATATATGCGTACCACATGCATGACTGGTGTCTAAGCAGGTCAGAAGAGGGTGTCAGATCCCCTGGAACTTGAATTGCAGACAGTTGTGAGCTACCGTGTGGGTGCTGGGAATTGAGCCTCTTAACCACTGAGCCATCTCTACCCCTGGGTAGTGTCTTCCTTCCTTCCTTTCTTCCTTCCTTCCTTCTTTTTTTTCTTTTGGTGTTTTTGAGACCTGGTCTTTTCTCTGTAACCCTGTAACTCGCCACGCAGACTAGGCTGGCTTCAAACCTTCCTGCCTGCCTCTGTCTTTCAAGTGCTGGCATCAAAGGCATGCACCCCCACCGCCTGGATCTAGGTAGTGTTTTAAACTCACAGCTACATGAGACCCTGTGGAACAGAGGGATGAATGGTCGTAAGACTCTCAACTGTTGGGCTATCCCACCCCAGGCCAAGTAAGAATCTCAACTGTTGGGCTATCCCACCCCAGGCCAAGTAAGAATCTCAACTGTTGGGCTATCCCACCCCAGGCCAAGTAAGAATCTCAACTGTTGGGCTATCTACCCCAGGCCAAGAACCAGTCGGTACTAATTGAATATATTGGAACAGTGTGGTGGGCATCAAATTGAATGACCAAGAAGCAGCCTAAAACAGGAAGGGGAGCATGATGGGAAGAAGGGGTGAGCTGGGATTGTGCCTCTGGTAGAGTGCTTTCTTAGTGTAAACAAGGCCCTGGGTTAAGTCCTCAGTACTTGGGAAACATTTAAAAAAAAAAAAAAAAAAAAAGTAAAGCAAGGTTGGGGATAACAACAGGTACCTTACAAAAATGTCTCCCCCATCTTTGGGGATTTCCAGGATAATAAAGGGCAAGAGCTGAGGGGCTGTAGCATCTGGAAGGATAGAGCTGTTAAGAGATCACTGTAGGATAAACTGCTGGACCAGTTCTACTCACACCAGGCAGTAGAATAGTGTGAGAATAGAGCATAAGGGGCAGGAGAATGGCTCAGGGGTTAGGAGCACTTGCTGTCCTTCCAGAGGACCTGAGCTAAATTCCCAGCACCTGCATAAAACCATTTGTGACTCCAATCCGAGGGGATCCGGTACCCTTTTCTGGTAGGCACTACAAATACTACTACTGACAG